AGTGGGCGGATGTGGCACCGGTTCTCGAGAAAATTTGATGTTGTATAGGCGTTAAGTGAGGGCGTAGGTCGGGGATACGTACATCGCGGACACATCCGAGGAGAACGCAAGAACATCGTCAGGACATCGGACATACGGTCGCTTCTCAGTCACTCAAGGCTGTATGTGTTCTTTTCGAGCTTTAAAGGGTATCAGGCCCATCGCAGGAGTTAGATGCACAAATCGGACGTACCTCCGCCTCGAGCTCGCGTCTCACACGATACTCCTCATCGGCCTTGATCACGACATGAAAGTCATCCAGATCCTCGATGATGAAGTTCTCCTTCTCGTTCAGCGTGAGCAGAATCTGCTTCACGGCCGAATCACTGGCACAGATAGACGGTTTGAGTTGTGATATGCGCGCCGGACGATCGCACAAACCAGGTGAGAAGCACGCCTGCATTGTGAGAAGCGGTAAGCGGCACCGCGGGGAGACCGGCCCTGGGACGTACCTCGTATCGCCTTCATGCTCCTGCGCAGTGTCTGGGCGGTTCCCAGGACGGCTCAGTACCGGTAGTCACGGCGAACGTGGTGGACGGAGACAAGACGCGATTGGCGCCACGGCGCCGCGGCGCCCGCTGCCTTGCATGACCGAGGCGGCACGGGACATCGGAGGTCAGGGTGAGAGAGCGCAGGGCAGACCGGGTATTTCATGGTCAACGCCCACGTCTTCGGCCGTCTCTGTCATAACATACCCCCCGCTCGACTTGCCAGCCAGCGAGGACCGTTTTCACGAAGGAGCAGCTCCAAGATGCCGATCCCGCCAGCACTGTTGACCCCGAACATGTCGTGAGTCGCCCCCGCGAGCGTCCCCCGCACGTCGATCAGCTCGACGGAGCGTCCCCTCAAATTTCACTCATGTTGTCATCTCCCCTCATCCCCGCCGTCCGCATCGACGACTCGTCGACCCTCCACTCGCGCTGGCACAGGACGCCCACCGATGGGGTGTACCCGCAGCCTCTCCGGCCAACTCTGGCTGGCCAGAACACCAAATACATCACAACGAGCACACCACTTCTCCAGCCTCTCCCGCCAAAAGGTCAGCATCAAATGACTCCGAAATTAAGCAGGCGGGGCTGATCCGTGTGAGCTAGTTGCTCCGTCGTCTTCTTCCGTCGAAGGCTCGAAGCGTCTAGCGGCTTGGACTGCGGTCGACCGACACATTCACCCCGAGCATAAGGTATGTTTTTCTTCGTGACATTGCGCCCTGGGCTCAAACACCTGCTGCAAGGTCATCGGGATCGGCTCTGGTAGGGCAAGTTATGACAATTTTTCTGACATGTTTATTCACGTTTTTGCCATGACTCAGGCTCCACCGTGCCGTATGTCGTCGAGCGCATAGTGTCCCAGGGCAGGGCCATGAACAAGGACCGAGTCTTCATCCCGACTAGTACGCATATAGCAACTCACGTTGATACGCGAGGCTGAACTCTCTCAACTTGCAGGCTTCCAATCCAAGGAGCTGATCGTGAACGGGCAATTGCTCCTGGGTGATGTCGATCAGTACCCTGTCATCGACGTCACTATAGACGGAGCAGATGAGTGCGTCTGGCCAGCTCAAACCACGTATGCTCGCGGGGCTCACCATATACTTTTAGAGTCGACCTTGACCTGAACTGCATCAAGGGCGGAGGTGGTTGCCACCTTCGCGAGAAGGTGCTCGCGGAAGCTGCAGACACGTACGTCAAGCTCGTAAAAGCTGTCTCTATGCGCTTAGGGACTCACAATGTGGACAGTTTCATCCTCGTCGCGGATTACCGCAAGAACTCCAACGTACTTGGCACCATGGTGAGCAAAACGAGCCTCTCACCATTTCGCCTGCCGAGTTAACCTCCCGCGTGCAGTTCAAGCAGGGTATTCCAATCGAGGTCGTACCGTTCGCGTACACCAAGATTCTGCAGAACTTGCACCTGCTCGGTTCGCCTAAGGCCGTGCTCCGCATGGCGAAGGCGAAGGCAGGCCCCGTAGTGTCCGACAACGGCAACTTCATCATCGACGCTCCTTTCCCCGAAGAGATGATGAAGGACCCGTACACGGTAAGCAATTGTGGCTTACACCCCTGCTGTTAGTCGTGACGCTGACCTGTCCAATGTCACCCAGCTTTTGACTCGCATCAAAATGCTCACGGGCGTCGTCGAGGTGGGCCTGTTCTGCCACATGGCGAAGGCCGCGTACTTCGGCAACGCGGATGGCAGCGTCACGATCAAGTTCCACGACGGGCAGGTGGAGCAGGTCCAGGCGGACAAGAGCCCGCTCATAGAGAAGCCCCAGGAACAATTCCAGTCGCTTTGAATGCTCTCAAAGCGCATATCCCCGGCGGTATGACGACGAAGATGACGACAGAGGAATAGACAGGTGAGTGCGCCCGGGCTATGCGGTGGTTGTATGCTCATGGATACAGAAGTATGCTACCTGTATTCTAGCCGGCCGATTTGTATATTTGCCCTGTTTTGAATACATGGACTTTCCGGAATCAGCTACTGCAGGCGTCGGCAAGCGCGTACGCGATACGACTATGCGTGCATCAGCACCCGAGGACGCAGACATCGCTGTGCAGACAATGCGCAATGTCTACGTCCAGGTCAGGCAGCTAGCAGCTCGAGATGTGCGTGAACGTGCACATAGTCTATGCACTCTTTGACACCTTTTCACAGCTTGGTTGCCATGCACTGGTCGTACACGCTGTGCTTTGACTGTTCTTAGTCCAGAACGTGGCGCTTTGTTGGTCAAAGAGTACCGCGACAAGTGGCTCAAGCCTCGAGGCCGAACTGCAGCTGCGAGCTGGAAGCGCCAGAAGAAGCGCCCAAGTCATGTGCAGACTTGCTGCCCGTCGCGACGGCCTGAGGGTGAGCCTCTGAGCCACTTGGGTTAGTGACCTGAGTAGCTAATAGCTTACAAGTTTTTGTAGTGAAGAAAGGGGTCATCTTCGCGCTATAATCGAAATTAGATGACGTGAACGTTCAAGCTAGGTCTCAGGCCTTAGCAGGTAGCCCTGCTGGAGGTCTCGTCGCCGTGGACATGCAGAACGCCGACGGTGCAAGGACAGAACGTCGAGGACGAGAGGCGGGAAGGCAAACATCGACATACAACGTCGCTCGGGGCGGGCCTCCCGGTGAGCCTCTCACATATGCCAAATCCAGTAGGCCCGAGCCACTGAGCCACTGACAAACACGCAACAGCAGGAGGTGAGCCACTCGCACTTCCTTCCCAGGAAGGACATGCGTCGGGGTGGCGCGCTGAGCCTCCCCCCCATGTATGCCGCTGTTTACACGAAGTTGACATTCCTGGCGAAAAGCAATCCGCCACACTAGCGCGCTAGCAAAAGCAATCCATCAAGCAATCCGCCTCCTCATGGGCCTTCGACCCTCAGTATAAATGGGTGGGGGGCAGGGCGGTAGGACAACCCATCCCCCGACCCCCCCAGTCGAGCCTCCCGCCTCAGAAACGCCCTCCCGCCCTTCCTGAGCCACCTCCCCTCCCCGCACACACTATCCCCTCCTCATACTTCATCCATACCCTCCTCCTACCTATCCCACTCTACTTCGCAGAAATGGCTCGTACCACCAAGTCATCCAATGGCTCCGCCCCCGTCAAGAAGACCACGACGCCTGCTGCCCCCGTTCAGAAGATCAAGACACCAACTGTATGTGGCTAGTCCACCTTCTTCTCCTCTCATACTGACTGGAATGCTCTCATCAGGCGCCCCGATGCCGTTACCCAGGATGCGGGTACGCCTCGTCGCGAGTGCACGACCTGAAGAGACATTTCCTTACCCACTTGGATAGACCAGGGTGCGTTCTCTCCTTCCTGCTGGCAAGAGCTCGCTCATCAACTCCCCGTTACAGCAAATACAAGTGCCCCTTCCCCGGTTGCTCTCACACCACGAAGCAGAAGTCAAATATGAAGCCACACATCGCCATACAGTGAGTCTTTTCCTTAGCATCATGCACGGCCATCATGCTCATCTTGCCTCAGTACTGGCCAACGTCCGGACAAGTGTCCTCACCACTGGATCGATGAGTTCGGTGTCGTATCTCGCTGCTCGGCGGCGTTCTCCGACCCCTCTGGGCTCCTGAGGCACCGCAAGCGCCTCCACGGCTACGTTGTTGGGTCGCGCGCCAAGCTGGAACCCAGGTTCCGCTCGGTCGCCGACCAGGAGGATGACAGGGATGTGAACGCGCTTGCTTTGAGCCTAAAGCTTACGGTCCCAGCTGCGACCAAGGAACTAAAGAAGCGGCGCATGGCCGGGATTTACGACGTGCCTGCCCCTCCGTCCGCGTCCTCTCCCTCCCCTGCGTACCCGTCCTCCATGGAGCCGATCTGCGAGCCGGTCGCAGGACCCTCGTCGAGCAACTTCGCCCAGAGCATGTCTCCTGTCAAGCACGAACGTTCACTCAGCCCCACCCTCGCCAATCTTGCTGCCGACATGGGCCTAGAGCTGAACAGCGAAGACTTCGACTGCTCCTTCGACGACGAGCCTCAGCTCGCCGCGTCCAACGTCGACAGCTGGCAGCTGCAGCAACAACAGTACCAAGGACAGAACTTCGGCAATGTCATGGCCCCAGACTTCCTTCTGTCAGGCCAGGACCCCGGCCAATACCTGAACTCATCAAACGACTGGTCGGTCGCTGGCGCCCCCGGAGCTGCCTGCGCGCCGCAGCCCGCGATGGACTGGAACATGCAGAACTGGGCGCAGTCGCTCGTCGTCCCGCCCTTGGATCCGAACATGGGCTTGGGCATGGGTGTGGGCATGTGCGCGCCGAACCCGATGGCGTACGACACCCCGGCGCTCCCGTCTGCGAACTCGCTCTATGGACAGACGTCGCCGAGCTGGAACGAAAGCTACTACGACCAGTTCTCGTCGGACAGCTCCTCCATCGCGTCCTCGCCATCGGCGAACAGCATGGACTACCTCGACGACTTTATGCGCCGCACTGCGTGAGCGCTGTCCTCGCGGATGTCGCCCTTCACCGTTTGCATTTCCGTCTCCGTCTCTGTCTCTCGCATCTCTCTTCCCCTCTGCGCTCTTCTCTTCTCGACATCTCTCCTCTTCTCTTCTCGACATCTCTCCTCTCCTCTTCCTCGACATCTCTCCTCTCCTCTTCCTCGACATCTCTCCTCTCCTCTTCCTCGACATCTCTCCTCTCATCTTTCTAGGCATCTCTCCTCTCCCCTTCCTCGGCATCTCTCTCTCCTCTCAGCATCTTTCCTCTCCTCGACATCTCACATTATTTCTCTGCATCGCGCATCTTTCCCGCCTCCCATTCGCATCTCGGCATTGTTTCCGTCCCGTTCCCAGCCTCCGCATAGTGCACTTCGGACTCTTATTATAGATAATTTAGAGTACCTTTCGTGTCTCTCCGCCTTCGCTAGGTGGGGAATCTTCTCGTTATTTCCCTGTGCTTCTACCGGATGTATCTGTATCGTGGATCGGATGTCTCAATGCATGGTCCCCTGGACCTGCTCTCTGTTCTAAACTCTGAACGCGTGCTTCAATCACTGTCCGACGTCGAGCGTAAGGATGAGTAGCAGTCTCCTTCAGATTTGAGAGGTATAGATTGTAGATCCACGTGGCTTGGCACTCCGGCTGTGTCCGAGTGGCTCAATCGTGGCAAGCGAACGTACGTTACGCGTACGTCCATCTCTTCCTTCCCCCACAATCACAAACTGAGCGGCGCATAATCATGTTTGTACAGATACTGTACTCAAGCCAAACATACCCTACGGCGCACCCCGATTGTATTATCAGGACGCTGTATTCATCAAGAAACTACCAAGGTTATCGCGCTTTCTGACCTCATGATCTTCTCGAACTCTTCGCGGCGACTTCTTCAACGTGGAACACACCGACGGCCCGCACTGCGGGACGATAACGTATTCTACGGCCCGTCGTAGAATGACCTAGCTCGCGCACGGCTCAGATGACGGTTCAGCCGGTGGAGGTTCGTCTTCCCTTCTACCGAAACTCATGTTGCTCATGGCTATCTCTGAGCGTGTGTGCTGATTGCAGTAGCGAGCGACCATATCATGGTTGCTGTACGTCGTGGAGAGATCTTATGCTAGCCCTAGACGGTCCGCTTGCACGGCTCTAGGTCTGGCGCATGACTGGTGCTGACTTGTTGATGGAGTGGCTCACATTACCTGCACCGCATCGTGCTCGGTGAATCATGGCGAAGAAGCATCTCCGCCATGCGGTACAGTACCTGGATGAAGGCGGCACGTCATTGCAGGGTGCGCTATATATTCAACGTCGTAGCGAGGACAGTCCTAACGTTTTGCCATCGCAGAAGTACTTGCTGTCACCATGCGTACGCTTCACGCCGTCTGCATCTCTGCGCTCTGTCTCGTGCGGATCTGTACCGCCCAGTCTGGCACGCTCGGCCTCCAAAATGGCTTCTTGAGTTTCGACACGCCTTCCTTCAGCGTCCAGCTCGTGAAGGATTCTCAGACGCTGTACTCATTGAACGCCTCTGGGTTTGACTTTATTCCTGCGGACGTCATGGCTCAACGGCAGTCGAACGGGAACTACCACCTCGGCGATCTCACATTCCGCGCGAGGGTAGTAGGCTCATCGGCCTGGACGAGCGGCGACACCTCAGCCCAGAGACGTAGCGTCGCCCCATTGAATGTCACTGGAAGTACGCTTGCGGCGGCGAACTTGTCGCCGACTCTACCTAGCAGCTCCCTGTTGAACATCACTCGCCGATGGGTCATGAACAACAACGAGCTCGAGCTTCTTTTTGATGTCACCAACTCACAAAAGCAGGCGGTCGAGATCGGCGCCTTGGGAGCTCCGTTGGAGTTCAATAATGTGAGTATACCTGAATTGGTTCTTCGAAAAACAACGCTGAGTGGTCTTGCAGATCTTCACAGGTCGGACCGCTGCTCAGACCAACGAGCTTTGCAGCCTGTTCGATCCCTATATCGGCCAGGATGCAGGATACGTACAGGTGACCCCTTTGCTGGGCACGCTTCCGCCCCTGCTCGTTCTCCCCGCTGGGAAGTCTCCCCTCGAAGGATGGCGATTCCTCCCCGAGGACACCTCTACGTCCTTGGGTTACCAGTCGCAGACCTTCGAGGGCCTCTACGAGTGGCAGTTCCACACGCTCGCCTATGCGCAGAACGAGTGGAAGAACGTTACGCCCTGGAACGCCCCTACCTCCGCAACCCTGCAGCCTGGACAGACTCGGACGTACGGCCTTCGTTTCGTCTTGGCGCCCTCCATCCGAGGCATCGAGAGTGCGTTGCAGACAGCGAAGCGCCCGGTCGCCGTCGGCATTCCTGGCTATATTCTGCCATCCGACCAGCCCGGGAAGCTATTCCTCAGCTTCTCGTCCGCCGTCAGCTCCATCTCCGTCAGTCCCGCAGGTGCCCTCTCCTGGACCAAAAACACCGACGCGCAAACGTCCGCCTGGGTCGGCTACACCATCACCGGCCACACATGGGGACGTTCGCGCCTCACGATCACGTACGCCGACGGCACCATCCAAACCGTCCACTTTTATGTCACGCATGCGGCCGTGCAGGCCATTGCAGATCTTGGAAACTTCTTGACGACGGAGTCTTGGTTCGACGACCCTTCGGACCCCTTCAACAGATCGCCCTCGGTCATCAGCTACGATCGCGAGGTGAACGCCGTGGTGAAGGACGATCCGAGGGCATGGATCCCAGGGTTGAGCGACGAGGCTGGTGCGGGGTCGTGGCTTGCGGCTTCGGTTAAGCAGTTCGCGCAGCCCAATGTCGCGGAGGTCGCCAAGATGGAACAGTTCGTCAACGAGACGCTTTGGGGATCTATTCAGAATCCCGATGGCTCTGTGAAGAAGGTATGCCTGCACTACGGTTCCTGACACTCCACACTCACGCGCGTCACAGGCCGTCTACTTCTACCAACCTGCGCTCGTGCCCAACTATGACTACCCTTCGTCTATCTTCTGGGGAAACTGGTGGTCGTGGAACCAGGCAGCGTCCTACGCGACGGACCGGGCTTACGACTACGTGCACGTCATCGCGGCGTACTGGTCTCTGTATCGCGTTGCGCGCAACTACCCCAGCCTCGTCAAGACAAACACGTGGGAGTGGTACCTCAACCAGGCCGTCATGACGGTGGCGAGCATGACGAACGGAAGGGTGGGGTACGCCGACGACGGCTTGATGGAGGAGACGGTCATCCGGTACCTGTTGGACGACGTAAAGAGGGAGGGCTTGACGGCGAACGCCACACTCATCGAGAGCCGTATGCGAGCTCGTGAAACCATCTGGGCAGGCGAACGGTACCCGTAAGTAGCGAGAAGCAGAAGGACTCGTGGCGTAGAACTGACGGCGAGGGCGACGTTTCTAGATTCGGTTCCGAGATGGCCTGGGACTCCACCGGTCAAGAGGGAGTGTTTGCGTGGGCCACATACTTCAACGATACGACCACCGCTCTCAACACGCTCAACTCCATTCTTGCGTACCAACCCACGGTACCGCACTGGGGTTATAATGGCAACGCTCGGCGATACTGGTAAGGCTTCCTATTGCCCCTTCAACTTCGGCATCGACTGACACACGCCCAGGGACAACGTGTACGGCGGAAAACTGCAGCGCATCGAGCGGCAAATCCACCACTACGGCAGCGGCCTAAACGCCATCCCGCTCATCTCCCAATTCCGCGCGACGCCCTCCGACTTCTACCTCCTGCGCATCGGCTTCGCCGGGCTCAGCGGCCCGCTCTCGAACATCGACCAGGGCGGGTTCGCGGCCGCGTCCTTCCACTCCTTCGCGGACACGCTCAAGTGGGACGGGTACTCGGGCGACTACGGCCCGAACTTTGTCGGGCACGCGCTCGAGATGGGCACCTACCTCGTCGACCACCCCGACTTCGGCTGGCAGGCGTTCGGCGGGAGCGTGCTCGCGACGACGCCGACGGTGCGCGTGCAGATGCTCGACTCGCTGCGGCGCCGCGTGTTCGTTGCGCCCATTGGTGCGTGGCTCAGCCTGGACGCGGGCGCGTTTGAGGAGGTCGACTTCGACCCGGCGAAGAAGTCGGTGACTTTGTCTATCGGCGCTGCTGCTCCTGGGGTGTCTGGGGCGGCGGCTGCGCCTGCTGCACGCCTCGTGGTGGCTAACACCGCGCAGAATGGTCTGGGGGTGCTGAAGCCAACAACAACCCTCAAGCAGGACGCAGGCGCGTGGGTGATACCGTTCAGCGGTGGGAAAGCTTCGGTTACGCTCACGCTCTGAGACTTCGCCAAGAAAATGTTGCACGTGTAGTGTTCAACCAGTCCATCTGCTGTGGAAACCATTCTCAGTACTGAAGGTTGTTATAGCGCGATTAGGTGTAAAATTAGCGCGTGGTTAACCTGCAATCCCACTAGTCTCCCTCACCCCGACTGTTTGCCTAGATACCTGTATAGCCAATATAGGAGTTCTCTCTGGCTTTCTGATCTTAGAAGTCCTAGTAGAAGAATGTCAGAAGGGTTTGAAAGCGGATTGCGGCTGCATGGAGTCCGTGAACGTACCACTGTGCTAGTGGATCGTGCCTACGCTTCCCCAGTTCCCCCAGTCTCATTCCCAAGACAATCTTCTTCAGCCGACGCCAACCCGTGTGTGGCGGCGTCCTCTGGACTCGGAGGACATCGCTTTCTGGAGGATAAGAGAATGTGATGTCCATCGTGTAATCCTGAAGCTTGCGGCGTGCCGCGGGATCCCCTACGGCTTGGACTGCAAGGGGGGTACTTGACGTCCAGAACATCACGTTCATCCGTATCCTGCAGGCGATAGACTCCAGATCGTACATCCTTTCGCTCCAATGCGTGTTACCGAGGGGTGATATTTCTGCCCAGCTGTTCTGCCATACATCGAGCCCGTTCTCGTTGTACGGGCCCAACGGTGTAATTGCCGCGATGTCCGTCGTAGGTCCACGGGAGATCATCTGCCCTCCAAAAACGGCTACTCGCAAGTGCTGTTTCAAGTATTCGTCTTCGGTGGCCCACTCTTCATTGTCCACGCACTCTAGCAGGTGGACGGTGATCCACAGCCCTCGTCCATCGTCGCGGAGGATGCGCATAGAAAGAGCGTCGCTGTGGGGAGCAAGCATACCTGCAGGAGTCCTCTCCTGAACGTCGAGGCGAAATCCCCAGTCATTAGCATGCTGGTGGAGCCAAGGAGGGACGCCGACGTTGAAGGTTGTGGTTGGCGAGGTATCGGCGGAGAAGTGTGTCGTATCATCATAAGGTGTCCAGTTCGGCACCTCCCTTCGGGGGTCACCTACTCGAATCCATATCTCTCGGGCGCGAATTGGTGTCCATTTCCTACGGAAGACTCCAATCAGACCAGGGTCGATGTAGACCACACGGATGTCTGGACGGAGGTCATTAGGAGATCCGAAGAATTCGAGTGGAGATGTGGCGTCGGCGGCGAAATGATGTCTGTGGGGGCATGAGAACGGGCCGATCCGGTAACCTTCAGAGTGGGTTTGCCGCGGTGAAAGTGGGTGATATGGGCTTATGACAAGGCCGAGAAAACGCCCGTCTATATCTTGGCAAGCTAGGAGAGCGATGGAGCACTGGCAGCCGTCGAAGAGAATGCCGAGGGGGAGGATGGGGAGTTGTGCGCGAAGGCCGAGAGGAGTAATAGAATATCCGCCGGAGAGAGCGGAACTCCAGCTAGGAATGGATTCGTTGCCTCGTAACGTATGGGAGTCCATTGCGTTAGCTGCTGCGCAATCGGCGAAGAAGGCAGGAGAGATTGCGAGCAGGGGGGAGAGTGATTTTGGCGGAGGAGTTTGATGCACCAAGCGGGACCTATTACGCATACGGTCGTAGAGTGGACGTATGTCGAATGGGAAGGGCCGGGGAGCATTTGCGGGGCGTAGCACAGCAGAGAGGCCCCATGCGAACAGACTCTGATCCAATGTCTTTTTGAAAATCTCTTCCTGAAGTCTGGTAAACGCGTTGCGACCTTCGCCGTAGATGGTGGGCAAGTGTATGCCAAAGATGCCCAGCAAACAATAGGCCTCGTCCTCAAGCCTGGTAGTCTCTCGCCGTGACGCCCACGACATTCGCACCGCAACGCAGACCGATTGCATGTCGCGTCGACCAGTCAGGACGTCGCTCGCGATTCCCGTAGTTTCCTCTATCTCTTGGCACAGCGACGTCTTGGTACCGAGCGACGTCTGCCAGTCGCTGGACAAGAAGACGACTCGGTCCGGGAAAAGGAGCTCTTGCAGTGTCCATCCTCTCGTAAACCACTTGCAGCGCCGGAAACGAGAGCCTAGTCTCCGTGGATTCTCTTGAGCGTCGACGTCGTGGAGGTACACGTAGCAAACGTCGGCCTTCGCATACCATTCGCCCATAGAGTTGATCGCCTCGGAGAGCTCGGCGCTGCTCGTCTTGTCGATGCAACAGGTGTCGACCCAGATGTAGCGGTACCCGTTCGCACTTGCAAACGCACAGCACTTGATGAGTTTATCCGCAATCTTCGTCTTAGTGGAAGACAGGTTTCCGTGAGGGTCGACGCCCAACACGCGGCACTCCTCCTGAAACTTGATGAGGTCCTGATGTTGGCAAATGATACGACGCTGTCAATCCGCACCATGAATCATGCCATGGGCATTTGGACATACCTGCAGCGTCGATTCAGACCCGGACATCCAAACGTGCGACAAAATAGCGTAAGGTGGACATCGGGTAGCATCCGGAAATTCATGAAGCTCGAGAGTTGTAGTATCCAGAAGGCGCATGCTCCTGCGAGGTTGTTCGACCAGTACGACTTCTCCCGGGTCTTTATAATGGGCGTACAGTATACTAGCGACCACGACGGCGAGGGGACGAGGGAGGGAGGAAGGCAAGGCGCAACCGGTATATGCTGGCGGGAATAAGTAACGCTACTAGCACAGCCGCGGCCTCGAGTGATGCACAGTCGGCGGTATTTGCGCATTAGCACAGGTGCCTTCTGACCAATTCCCACCACCAGTGTCTTGTGAGACTCGAATGGCGCGTGTAGCCTCGGGGAAGCGGAGGGTGCATCTTCTCGGACGAGAGCAAGAACTGACGAAAGCCAGCGAAAGCCGCCGTCGTTCCTTCTTGCGCCGCCAGCGCATCGTGTGACGGTCACATCATAGCAAGCGCATGTCTCGTTTTGGAAGCGGCGGCGGGCGTCGGGCGGGGATGCACGTCGACCGCAGAGGTCGACGGTCCTACACAGAATGATCACTTCGTAGTACCAGCCCGGCAAACAAGGAGCTGATCGAGAAAAAAAACGACGCCGTTGCTACGTACGGAACAAGACTACGAGATACAAAGCATGTTGCACAGGAAAATACACTGCAGCAGTCGCAGAAAGCGGAGCACAACCAGACACTTCACAGCAGCACATGCCCTACCCTACGCTCCCCAACCTAATCCTCAACCCCTCTGTCCGCGTCGGCCCAGCCGGGACATTCACGGCGACAACGCGCCCGCAGGCCCAGTGCCCGCAGGAGACGCCCCAAGGTGATAGAACCCATTCGTCTGGTGATCCAGCCCGCCGAGGTCCGGCGACGCGAGGATCGAGCTCATGTCCAGCGCAGGGTCCGAATTCAAGAACGCCATGATGTCCGCCGTCGACATCCCCACCCCGCCCGCGCCCACGCCCGGGTCCGGCGGCAGGATGTTCATCGGCGACGGGCCCCCGGTGTCCATGAACGCAGACATGCCCTGTGCGCCCCCCGAGAGCCCGAACGCGCTTGGGGGCATCGGCTGGCCCATGCCTGGCTGCTGCTGATTTGGCTGCGGGACGGAGAACGGCTGTGCGGCGGAGCGCGGGCTGCCCCCGAGGTGGTCGAGGAACGCGTCTGTGGGCTGGTAGTCCTCCGGGCTGCCGTGGTGCGAGGGCGAGTCGCCCGAGCCTGCCGGGGACCGCGCGTTTGACGATGCCTTTTTGCGTACGGGGCGGACCCAGGGTGGCCGAGTGCTCGATGGTGCGCCGTCTTGCGGGCGCGGTGTCTCGAGGGGTATTTGTGTGACTACGCAAATATCAGCAGGTGTAGGCCAAGGGCGTCGATGCACTTACTGCGACAGAACTCTTCCATAAGGTCTCCGGATCGTTGTCCGCAGATGTAGCGGCCGCTGAAGCGTCTTAAAAGACCCACACATGAGCGCAGGGCATCCAATGCAGGGGGGATAAGGGGCCGTAACGAGTCTGAGTGACAGTTGAGGAGCATCGCGACCAATGTGCGTCCAGCCGCGGTCAACTGGTGGATAACATGGACACCATCTGTACGAGAATTTGTCAGATATAACTCGCCACAACTTTTGAGACAGCGCTGCAGACTCACAGTAAGTCATCAAGCCCTTTGCAGCAATGTGCAAATGCGACGAGATGATCTGCAGCGCACACGAGTGCGCCGCGCGCATCGCCTCGATCTCCGCCTCGCCCTGGTCCGAGTCCGGTACATGGTTATGCATGCGCTCCGCGACGTTCTCCGAGAACCGGTGGCGGTAAATCAGCATGCGCACGTACTGCTCGACGCAGTGGATGCGCTCCGCCTGCGTGACGCGGATCACGTCGTTGCTCGTCATCGTCTCGACCGAGTGCGCCCAGTGCGCGGGCACCGCGCGCGCGATCTCGTCCAGCAGCGCCTCCTCCTCGCGCAGCTCCTTCCCGCGCCGGAAGCCCGTGAGCACCGCGGACGCGCGCGCGAGGAACGGCGAGCCGTCGCCCGGGCGCGACGGCGGGACGTCGATCACGGACTCGAGCACGATGAAGAGCCGCACGCAGCTCACGAACGCGCTCAGCCGGCTCTCTGTCTCGGGGGGCTGCATGCCGACGCCGTCGCGCGTGATGAACTCGTCGTCGACGATCGTCGGTTCGCCGACGTCGCAGTCCCGTAGCCGCAGCATTGGCGGCCGGCCAAAGTGCGCGCTCGCCTGCTTGTCCCACAGGTAGACGCACCAGAACGTCCGCTTCCGCACCTCGTCCTCAATCGGGTCGAAGAGGTCGTAGTCATCGGAGGACCGATGGAGACCCGCGTCGAAGGACATCGTCACGGACTCGGCAAGCAGTGCAAACGCCTTCGAGAGCTTCCCAAGGCCAACCGCGTATACACCGGCTATAAAGACCGACTGAATGGTGTACAGCGTGGGTTTGTCCGCGCCAGGCAACGTCCGCAATCGCAGATAGAGATCGAACCATTGTGTGCCCGCGCTATTGCTGTCATTTGGGTCCGCGCGCACGCGCGGGTCGTCGATGTGTCTTGAAGATAAGCAGCATATGGCGACGATGAAAGCAGCAAAGCCTGGCTCGCCCCATTTCCGGGGATTGCCATAGTCCTGCGAGCCGTAGTGTTCAATCACATGTTACGGCAATGGAATAGAAGCCCGGAATGACCCACCGCTAGAAAACTTGGAACATGCAGGAAGGGCATGAGGTAGTATGACGTCGACAAGTAACATTGAACAAGGCTACGCGAATGCAAACGCGAGTAAGTACAGCAAGGGAGACACAAGTGAAGTCCATACCTGTCCATGAGCTCGGGAACGATGAAGGTGGTGATGAGCTTCCATATATGCTCTGGATTCGTTTCCGTACGCCTCGGCTGGCGATCAGGGAACCAGTCATTTGGAGGTTGGCCATTTGGTCCCTTCCAGTGCTGTTGCTGCTGCGGAGTGGGCCCGCGATCAGGGTCTGGTTTTGTGACGACAGCATGGCGCTCGACGAGCAAATCGAGGATGGGTAGGCCGGACGTCTCGCCCTGCCAACGCGTGTATCCCTCGTCGTCGAAGTACAGGTATGAGGACGCAAGCGACATGCGCGACGTCTCCTCCGCGATGGGCTCCTGGATCATAGCACTTGAAGAAGCACCAAAGTTCATGCCTGTGCTTGGGCTTGAGTTGCGTGAGCTAGTCTTCATGGGGCCGAAGAAGGTGGAAGGGTTGATCAGGGGGTAGGCTGTCAGTGAGGGGGGTGGAACCGCGGTCGGGAAGATGTGTGTAGAGGAGGCGAAAGATGCATGCGGACTGGTGCTAGGGTCCACGGGCGACTGTGGCAGCCCCGCCCCTAGAGCCCCTGCGCCCGCGAACACTTGCGGGGGAATAGCTTGGATGAGCGTCTCAAGCTGCTGCATGCGATCCTCGAGTGTGGCGGCGCGTCTGGTTGTGCGACTACTTAGCATATACGAACACGACGCGCGATGACTCGATAGGACAGGATCGACCACTTACTTGGATTTGTGTGGGTGTGTCCGTTTGCCGGGCTCCTCAAATGTGCATGCCGAATTTGAAGAGAGGCAGGACTGGCACGGGTGCCCTTCGTCGCACTTGATCCTCCTCCGACTGCACGCAAGCACACATGCATACACCATTAGCGGACTCGTTCTACAGACATCGGTCCGTGGACATCATGGACAGACGCTCACCGACAACGGTCGCATGCCCTGCACGCCGCGCGCACAAGCAATCCATCAGCCTCATACACTTGCACAATCCGCCATAGGCAACACACCTGCTCAGCTTAAACCGCCGCTCCTTCAGGATCGACGCCGACGCGGACGGCTTCTGCTCGGAGAAGCCGCCCGTGTCCGGCAGGATCCCCTGCTGCTGCCCCGGGGACGGTGTTTGGGAATGGCGCTGCTGCTCATCGGCGGTAGGGGTAGAAGACATGGTGGGTGGCGGGCAGCATAGAACACCGCGCAGGCGAGGAAGTGGTAGGTGCGCGAGACGAAATGAAGGCGGAGCGAGGTCCGAGTCAAATCAACCCCAGACGGTGAGCTGCGCGAGATGCGGGGCAGAAGGACGCGGGCCGCGCGCTCGCTGCAGCGCGCCGACGCCCGACGTCGTCGCGGAGAAGCGGAGCTCGTCTGTATTCAAAATCACCTCGGGCCGTCCAATGGCGAGAAGAGAATACTATCAGTGTACGGGAAATGCAAATAGCGACATGCAATGCAAATCGCGCATTGTGCCTCGAGTGCTTGTCCGTTCGCATTCTAATTTTGGTCACCACCTGTATATATGCATCGTAAAACGTCTACGAAGTTTCAAACGGATTGACGAAGGATTGCAATGTGGAGTTGAGAAACAATGGTTTTGAGGGGCCAATGTATGCGCTGCTTGGGCGTCTGATGAATTCTGATACCTAGATCCATAGCCAGTTTCTCTACCGATAGAGCTGAAAATTCGTACATGGTCTTCCATGAAGACTCGGAATATAATCGACCAACCCGATTGCTTTCCTGAGTAGTGGTTCCCCACTGGGAGAGATGTTGCATCCCATGTCTACTCGCAGAGTGACAATTTTGAACTCCGCCGTGCACGCGAGCTTGCCTACTCGCAAGCGGTGGCTGAGTGAGGAGGGACAGGGAATGCAAATCGACCTGGTGAGGGCGCGCTTTCCCGCCTGCACCGAGCGTTCATCACACGATTGCCGAGTCGGAGCTCCAACGTACCGCCGTGACTGGCGGTGACCATCCTTTGCATTACATGGCGAGAATAAAGTCGCCCTTCCGGAAGTGCTCCGAGGTCAGCTCCTGTCGTCTTTTGAGGAGATAAAATACAACAACATATGTAAAAGACCAATCTGGACCACATGGCGAATTTCGGTGGCATCCTGCGAAGGTATGCGCTCATAATTGCAGAAATAGACAAATCGTTTGCATATCCCGTACAGTGATAGTACAGGAGAAGGAGTGATGGGGCGGGCGGAGTGTGGACGTGGGCGGGTGGATCTATGCATTAGTCATGCCATCATGGGCGGGCAGACCGGATAATGCATTTTCCCTCGCGCCGCCGCGCCCCCTCGAGGCGATCGCGCTCCTATCCCGGCGTGCACTTTGCAGCCTGCGCCGCCGCCACCGCGGCCCTCTAACCCCTCCCGCACCTTGGCATGCCTCACGACAGCGCAGCATACAATAGAACATTCAAACGTCCTGCGCTATCCCTCAACGAGACAGACAGCTCCCGTGTGGCGAAGTCGCTCATGTGCCGTTACTGTGCTCAGTAATCGCCCGGGGTTCATACAGTACGCAGCACGGTAGAACACGGCGCGCTCGGACGCGACCGTGTACACGGGCACCGCACCGCTGGTCACAAGAGCCTCCGGTCCGCAAATGCGCCCAGGAGGGCAGGGCGAAACCGGGAGCGCAGGCACGAGAACACCTAGCATGGGAAACATCTTTCCTGAAGAACGTTCATTACAATACCAGGACCCGGACAGACCATAGGGATTCGAAAGTGTTTCATTTTCAGGACCCCCGACAGGCCATAGGAATTCGACCGACGGCGCAGCTGTCATTACAACTTCCTGAGTGAGTAAATGAGTAAGTGAGTGGTATTTATGGAATCATAGGTCGCGTACATCCTCAACCGTGGGGTTCAAGAACTACAGTAATACAACATACAGGTAACACAATCGCTCCCTCATTTCGTATACGACTCGACATCCGGGGGTCATCAATTCCAACGTTGCACCTTACAATGGATGCTCCCGATACCTTCGTTAGCTATCTATCCATAGACTGTTGACTACAAACCAGCTCAAATCTCTGGCTTATATTCCGCAGGCGGAATAAGCAGGCGCCGTTAAACCTCAAGAGGCTGGCATTAAAGCCTGGGCAAAAACCTGGGCAAAAAACGTAAAACCCCCAGGAGCAGGAGCCATTGCACACTCCTGTGCGCCGTGACATAACTCGCGCAGGCCCGAGAGAGCACATGTCCCATCTTCAGCCTACTGCCAAGACAACCTGACCTGAGGTATAGGGTTCCAGCCCCGCGCTCTCGTTGTACTCAGTGCACTTATGTACCATCTGGACTGGTGCGTCTGGCAGATCCCTAGAACGATGTCAGTCTATTACCACAGTATAACGTCGTCGTTGTGCCAAGATCCTGTCGGCCACCTTTACAACCCGCCTCCAAAAGAGTGTGTCGAAAGGCCTGCCTCTGCGAGACTAGTAGTCAGTCATTCTGCGCCAAACTCCCGCCCAAGGACGTTGATACCTTCATAGAGTCTGCCATCATGTCCAGAATGCGCCCGGTACGCGTATAACCTCCGTGATGTCGAAGGCTGTCAGCGGAATTCAGAAGACATCCAGTATATGTTATGCACGTGCATTCCAAATGAGAGACATGTCCCTTGGAGTATCGTGTAATTATAATGCGAATCCGATGGTACAGGTGCTCGAAACTTAGAGCAAACCTGTTGGGAGATTAAGGTCTCTTTGAGGGCAGCTTGAGGGACAGTAACACTCGATACCTTTGGCCCGCGCTGGCATTCGCGAGGTCGGGATTGCTCGCAGCAGGCCATTGTAAAGACGCCATGATGACATTAATGACGCTGTGGTTCAACTTCCTCGAGCCTGTCGGGGGTCCTCGAGATCAAGAATGCCTCCCGTGTGGGAGCCCTTCAAGCTCCCCGGTATCGGCGTCGGTGTCCCACGCGATAGGCGATAGTCGTACAATGAATGGTATACAGACCGTGGTCGCCACCACGCCCCCGCGCGAACGTACATGGGAGAAAACGGCACAACAACGTACAACATACGGGCACTGCTCGGCGAAACGTCCTGTAGAAGGTGTCGGCGTGAATGCAGCCGTGGGACTGCGGATGGGGGGAAGACTGGCGGAGATGGAGGGTGGAAGTGGGAAGATGACGGTGTGAGGATGGAAGATGGAGGCGGGCAGAGTAGAAGAAGATGTGGGGGCGAGATAGAAGGCGGGCGATGTATGGCGCGCTCGGGTAGGGGGTGGATTCCGGCTGGGCTGCGGCAGAAGAGGTGCAGCGATGGGCCCGGGGCTTCTGGCCTAGAGGTCCCCGCGGGTCCAGTCGACGGCGCGCTTCAGCTGCTCGAAGGTGATGAAGATGAGCATCGTCGTGGGTTGCAGACGCGTCCATGCCGGCACCCAGCCCTTGAACATGAACATCGCGCCTTCGTTCCGCATGGACGTCCGGATCATCTGCATGGTCGATTTGCTCTCTGAGCCTGATGCGCTCATGATACGGCTCTGCAATTGGAGCACGGTCAAAAGTAGAACATCGGTGACAAAAGGGCCGGCGTACCTTGAGTACGTCCGCGGGGGAACAGACGGTGGTGGCCACGGTACCCTGGTAGATTGTGATTAGTAACTGCCCGCACACCCATGCAGAGTGAGCGTACCGCTGCGAAACTTGCTGTCGTGTGGACATAAATGTTGTCATCGAAGTGGCCTGTCTTCAACAATTCGGCCTTGAAGAAGTCGTACCTGTATATATCCTATAAGCTTATTATATCTCAATGAAGTATATATACCACTCACGAGGCAAGCTGGCTCGCGTTCATCAAGATCGCACGGAAAACGTTAGGGCCGACACCGCGTGCGAGTGAGGAGACGCCCTCGTCGCGAACCATCTACAGGCCAGGCCATACGTCAGCGTTCTCCCATGACAGGCATAATGAGAGCCTCGAACGTACCCGGTAGAGGCCGTCGAGACAGTTCTTGTAGTTCAAACGCTTCTCGGGCGGCTTAGCGAAATCGCCCTGCATGCGGACCATGATGATTTCTACATTCGCGTAGAGTAAAGTTAGCGTTCAGTTCACGGCAAGCGCGGGAAACACCTCGTGCGCACCTCCAGGGTTCCCGACCACGCCCGCAATACCACCGGCTGAAACGCTTATAAGATCTCTGCCCTGATGAATCGTGATGCCGCAGGACACTACGCACCCATACTACCCGCCAGCGCGAGCTTCCAAGCTGGACTCTTCTCATCTGCCGCCTTCGTTAGTACCTCTAGCTCGATGCTCAATACAAATGATTGACTTACTTGCTCCCAGGAGTTTCTTGCTCTCGTCGTATGCCCAGAAACGGCAGACGGAGTACGTCATCTGCCTCAGCCACGTCCCGGAGATACCATCGAGCAGGCCTAGGGGACCCGCGGTGCGTACAGTCTTCCTAATTGACTGGATCATGCCCTTGTCGCCCGTCGCCTGCAGCCGGACCTTCGTCAAGTCGAGCGGGCTTCAAATGCAACGGTAAGCGCTCCGCAGCCAGTCTCCGTCTCTAAACTGCTAAGGACTTACTGGGTTATAGATGCAGCGATGGTCGCAGCAAGACCTATTGCAGCGCACCAGAAACGGCATGAGAGGCAGCGCTCAGACGAACGAGGATATCTGACGTACCCCCGAGCCAGAACGGATACGGCTTCTTCTTCTTCAACGGAGTCGGTGCAGGAGTAGCATCTGCGACGTTAACGGGCAGCGCCACGGCGGATTGCTCTATCGTCTTGGACATGGTCGCAGGCAGGGGTGTAGGGTATCCCGTCTAGCTGGTGTGATCTGAGCGGATATCTTGTAGCTGTACCGTCTAGATGCGCGCGTGTCCTGTTGAGCGTCCTGTCAATAAGTCGCACGTACGACAATTGCTCGGAGGTCGTACGAGCAGAGTATGACGAGCGGGCGGGCGAAACGTTGGAGTTGCGAGGAGACGTGCGTGTGTGTTCGAATCAGAATATCTGGGGGTATTTAGGGGAATAGGGGCCTTCCCGGGAGACAGCAAGCCGATTCGCACCGATGGGTGAGAGATTCAGAGGGCGCGGGAGTCGGGACGGGGGTTATTGGGGACGCCTGAGGTTGTAAAGGAAGAGCGGGGCACCCGGGAGGCCACAGAGGGGCGTGAGGAGGGCCGTCAGGTGATGGTCCGGGGGTATGGCCAGGGCAGCTGAGCGGATCGGCTATGCCATGGGGCTTCCCCGCGGGGTGCCGCCCAGCATAGACGCACCAGGTGTGTACATGTCTCCTGCGATCGAGACCCCACAAGCAGTGCATCCTGGGCGTTGGTGGCGCAGCGGGAGTCTCGCGGTCAAATCCAACCCTCCAACGACCTATCGCGTACGTCCTGTTGAGGTCCTTGCATATTCCGAAATCGAGCTATTCGGAGGGTATACGGCAATGACTGTGCCGAGAGAAGTAGTCAAGGAGGCGTGGAGGTCGCAAGACCAGGCGTATGACGATCGTTTGAATGGAGAAGGTCAGCTGTGTCGAGACCATCGCCCGCGCTCAACTCAGCATCCAATATAGCGTGGGAATAGAGAAGACGCGCCCACGTGATTCAAACGCGACGCGTGGGTGGCTGGAGCGAGCTCTGGCATGCACAACGGTCCGAGTCAGTGTGGTAGTGACTATATGCGGCCAAAACGCACCAAGTATACTTCGAATGCCTCTGATATCTCTCTCCTGGTACTTGAGGTGGTGTGGGGTCTCCATACAATAATACTACTAGGGGAGGAGCGGGCTCGGATGGCTACAAGCAGACGTCGCGACACCGTACTAAGGACGGGGGAGGGGAGTGGGAGGTCGAGATGGGAGGTCGATATGTCGGCTTCTTATATAGGTTTACCCCGGAATGTGAAGTGGTAAATACGGTACCGAACAGCGAATTGGATGAAGGAACTTACAAAGTCGCCTTTCTAGAAAGACCTACTCTTATCTCCGCAAGTCCCCGCAGGATGATCGGCAAAATAGATCCCTTATGACATAATTTCAGAGGGAGACATATCATAATACACAATTAGTGGCAGCGCACCATGCGACCTCTGCGAGTTGACTCACCCTCTGACCCAAAAGTTGGTCCGAGCCGTCGTTTACATGCTTCGCTTATTACCTCTTCTTGTCGACACTAGATCCCTCTACATGCCGGCAGAGCCGCATCACGACCATGATGTGCACACACTCAGCACACCATACAACATGCGAGAACGTAAAATGTGTGTCGAGGTAGGCTTCTCCTACGAAGCATATCAACGTAACTACACTTCAGAAGGACACGCCGATGATTTCTAACGTTGTGGATATAGATTTCGCTATACCGGCTCTGATATCCTGGCTACCCATACTCTCCAATTTCGTTGATCTCCCTAGTCCAATGTATGGAGACAAACCATAGCCCTACACAGCGGAGAGATCTCCCCCAAGTGTCCCTACATATGTACAACCGCACCCGTAACATCTAGTACTGCCAAACAAACTTGAACATAGTAACCACAAGGCCGATATACTAGCGTAGTGATCGTGAAGTACAACAGTCCCAAGCCAAAACAAAAAAGCTAATGATACAAGGTCTAGAAGTCGGAAAATCTATCCACCATGACAGTCTAAGCATAACCAAAAGACTCGACGTGAAGCACAACACTCGGCCCGCCCTCAACGACAGTAGAAACCGGGATGCGGAGCGCAGAGCGACATGCCCGCGCGACACCCTGAGAACCGCACACTGCAAAGCAACACACGTCAGCCACGTGCCGACATACATAATCGCGATGTCGGACGCACCTGTGACAGACAGACGGCCAACATTCACATCGACCTCCGCCCGGAGCAGCGCCGGGAGGTCCGGACGGCCCTGCGAGACCTGCACCGCGGAGAAGTTGAGAAGCGACGACGGCCTGCTTTTTCCAATCGCAGTCCCCTCAACAGAAGAGTGGATCGAGTCGTCCTCGTTCCACGAGTCCGCGGGCACAAGCCCAGGGGCGCTCCCGGACGTGACAAATAGCCGGATGGAGATATCGAGCCCTTGCGGCGCGAGCTCGAGCGCTTCGGTGAGCGCCTTCGAGACCCAGTCGATGTGGCCTGAGAACAGGTCAGCGGACGTGGGAGCGGGGCAGGGATGGGTACTACTGACTGGCGTCGCGGATAGACCAGATGAAGACGAGCTTCCTGCACCGGCTCTTCCCGTTCTGGACATGGCTCAGCACGCCGAGGAATGTCGACAGCGTAAACGATACGCCCGAGCCACCTATTCCATCCTCATCAGCGACCGTTGTACACAGCGATCCTTTTGAAGGAGACGTACCAGCAATGAGCACGACTGTGTCATCATGGTCCAAGTTAGGCGAGAACCCGTACGGCCCATCGACCAACACCTTCACCTTCCCGCCCGTCTGCGCGATCTCTGCCAGGCGCCGCGTGAAGCCCTCGCGCACGTTGACCAGGAAGACGAGCTCCTTCCAGTACGGCGTCGCGTCCGCGCCCGACGGCGGCCCCGCCTTCTCTGCGTCCCCGGGCCCAACGGTCGGCGAGCTCACCCCGTTCAGCTGGTACCGCGCATCGACGCTCGCGATCGTGAACGGGTGCGCCTCGAGCGGGAACCCCGACACCCCAGGCATCGTGAGGAACGCAGTCTGCCCTGGGGTCCAGCGGAAGTGCGGTGGCCGCTGCAGGTGCAGGCGCACAAAGTGCGGCGAGAGCAGCTCAACGGACGCGTCGAGCCGGTTCGACGTCTTCGTGAACCCGAAGTAGAGGTGGTTGTAGAAGACGAGGCGCGCGAGGCGGATGGCGCGGTCGAGCCCCCAGATGAGGAAGCACGGCCAGATGTAGACGCCGATGTGCACGAAGCTGGCGTGGAAGTACCCGCCGAGGAGGAAGATGCTGTGCCATGGGAAGAATGATCAGAATACGTCGAGCATCGGGGGTACGAGGGTTAACGTACAGGACCATGAGGAAGTGCGTGAAGTAGAATATCTCGTACACTTGTGCGCGGATGGGGCGCAGGGAGACGAGGATGAGGACCGTCAGTGCAATCAAGGCAGCCAAGCCGATGCGGATGAACCACTCGTCGTATGCTGCAGGCATGAGGCTATATCACGCTGCCAGTCAGCAATGGATGGAACACGTCAGTATAAACGGAACGTACTATGAGATCTGTTGCGCACGAAAATAATAAGCAATCAAGATGAATGACAGGGAGATCGAGCCGCTACTTACCTTCGCGCCACCATGTACCCAGAATAGGACGAAGACGACGCGCGCCGTCATACGATGGATGTAGTTCAGCTACCCGACAACTGTTAAACGGTGCATTATGATACAAAAAAGAGCAGACATACCTTGTCGTAGCTGATACCGGTGATATCTATCGACGTGGCATCGGTCAGTGATGGCCAAGAAGAGCAATGCAACGGCCACCCACATGCAATAGGATTATTCTTGGTGCCAAGGGCGGTGACCAAGGGCAGCTGGCTGGCACCTATCGCGCCAGCCCTGCCTCCCCAGTAACTGATGTCGAGTTTGGAGCCAGTTGTGGTCGTCGCTGCGCATGACATCAGATCGGTGAACCCAATGTACAACTATATCACGTACTATTGACAAACTCCCAAACAAAGAGCGCGACGATGTAGGCAATGGTGACGAACACCTCCGCAAGGTTAAGTGTGTACGACTTGCCAATCTCCAGCGTCCACCGGAAGGCGACGACCCGGTATAGATTGACGGCCGCGAGGGGAACACGTCGCCACGAGAATCGGCGAGGGGGGTTAGACCGTCCCGCAGTCTCAGCGTCTCCCGCCTGCTTCCCCACAGGACATCCCGAAGAGAGCTTCGAGATCGCCCAGGACACAAGCTGGCAGACGGACACCAGAGCAATGAAGCTGGCGACGAACCACCAGACCTCGCGAGGGTACTCCTTGTTGTGGGCGCCGCGAATGGCCCGGTTGGGATCCACGGGCGGGGCGGAGTGGGGGCCCGGAGCATGAGCCTGAGGAGGAGTGTTCATGTTGAGTCTTCGGGGTGCTCGCGCGTGCACGGGAGGGCCAAAGCGGGGAGGGGGCGGAGTCCTGCCTTTGCCCCTCATCCGTGCGCAAGCTTAAGTAGCCCCACTGGTCGTCTGGGCAAGAGCCCGAGCAACGCGCAGCCACGAGGAGCCCCTGCGCAGAGCGGACATCGAGGCATACGAGTTCTTTGATGTCCATTTGCGAGCGGTGAAGGAGGCGACGGACCGCCGTGCTAAAATCCACTCGGGGCACATGGCTCCGTCATCGGGGTCTTCGCTAAAGAAGCAGCACCTCGCCGGGCACGGTCAATCGAAGCAGATCGCACCAGCGCGTATCTGGGCTGCCCGGGAGTTGAACGGGGTCGTCGCACAAACACGGACTTCTTCCCATACGTGATTTACTGCGGGTGTACGCGAATCGTAGTTCCATATGCAGAAATGCATCCGCCACAGATGGTGCATATGAAACACCGATCTGCCCGACGCTGTTTTACGTCCCGGCGCAAGTTGAAGAACTGGTTGCTGAGACGTGGTCTCTTCAGGGGCTGGTAAGCGGATGCTCGATAACGGAACGTGAATTGAGCTTACTCGCACCCTGAGCTAAGACGACGTCGCATGAGGAATCGTACGATGAACGACCTCGCCGCCCTCGCCGAAGATCGCTTGTTCGTCCTTGACAAAGTTGGCGCCAAGCCGTAGTCGACTGCTTCCAGAACAGCATAGCCCCTCTAATGCGGTAAGGGTTCAGGAGGGGCTCATTGGTGGAGCAGGATGATTGTACTGTCAAGCAATGGCGTAAGCGTTGGTAACAACAACCCTGAGTCGGCAGAAACAGCATCCGAGGCATAAACGCGATTTGAGCACGAAGATGGCGCAACTGCTCGACGGGGACAACTGCGCGGACAGCAGATGCACCATGCATTGTAGTTTGATGCCAGGCGGGGCCACAACGCGTTGCATTTGGTTGCATGGCGTGGCGCCTTCGACAACGTAGCAACACCGCGCGAGTATCAGGGGATCACCGCTGTATTATCAAAATGGCACCGCCGATTGGTCTTATCTTGTGCTGTTCGAGAACACTGGGCATCTGCGTCCGGAGACTTCTGATATGATAAGCAGCCTCGAACACGTTCGTCCCGTGTGGTATGCACTGCGAAGAGGACGGAGCCATACTGACATGGAGATCTTGCTCCGTTGCAAGCATATGTTGTCTTCGGGGCTCTAGATCCCCGAAGAACTTGTTTGACACATGGATGCGCTCAGTATGACGCAGACCAGATCGATAGCAAGGTGCTTGACGAATGCACTGGGAGTTGACACAGAGCAGCTGAGTCACTCTGGCAACTCCTGCAGCAGTTATGATACCTGCTGCGGGTCGCGCACTGCCCATAAGTGAAAATGGGCCGCTTCTATCGGACTCTTGCGGTCAGTGCGCACGCTACAATATTCTGCATGAAATTTGATTCGTCGGTGTCCCGGAGGCGGTATACGAACGTACGCACGTCCTTCTTCGGATGGGCTCCGTGTTAGGGATGCATCGATGACGTTCCGCAGCAGCGGACCTCGTAACCCACGCTTCGATGTCATCTGTGCCGTGCGCATGGCCACAGAAGATGCAGCCAGCCATGCGGTGTGCCGAGTGGGCAGCCTGGACGAGCCCTAAATGAAGAGCGGTTGCATGGGAAGGATCGAGGAAGAGGACGGCCAATTAAAGTATTTGCGAGAGCGCACTGCGATCGGAACGTTCTTGCTGCGCACGGACGTTGAGAGGCTTCGGGGCGGCCCGGGTCGTGCGATTGCGTGTTGAGTACAAGATCGATCAGTCCGATCTCTGCGATCGAAGTGCGCCGCGCTCGAGATTCGTACCGTCGCGCCGGCCGACCTCTCAGCTGAAGAGTATTTACAAGGGTTTGTAGTGTATGCATTGTTTAGTCCTGTTGGCGCTGCAGCGTGCAGGAAATACCGATGTTGCGGGACCAACGGAGGTCCAGTAGGGCCCAGCACAGTTGGACAGCCCGGACTCCGGAGGACGGCGAAAAAGATGGCGCTGAGGTGCCAACTCGACATCACGACGGCTTCGCATTTGTGTCCTTAAAATAAGTCGTAAAGGAGTCCAGACGTCCAACAGCCATGTGGTCGCTCGACGCGGGCGTCCTATGACGAGTGCATGCAGCTCGCGCGCTGAGATACATTCATAAAACATGAGTACATCGCTACAGTAACTACTATGCTGTAGTCTGGAGTCATTCTATAAGCCACCAACCGCTTCCTATGGACCTCAAGGACCTGAAGGTGGCAAGGTGAAAGCCGAAACTAGACGAATCGTACGCCAAAGCGGCGAGAAAGAAGACATGTTGTACATGCGAACTGAAGGGGGCACCTGCCCCACAACCAGGACGCGCATAACAATCGGGCATGGGAGGCGGAACCGGTCTGAGCAGCCGCGCCTCCGTCTAAGCACATCTACGCGTAACCAAAGGACTCCACGTGCAGCACCACGCTGGGACCGCCTCTCAACGCGATCGACAGCGGGAGCCTGAGCGCGGCACGGCACGAACGCGCAATGCCTTGCGAGCCGCACACTGCGTCGAGGCCAGCGTCAGCTACGTCACCAGCACGCAAATAGGGAGAGGCACGTACCCGTCACGGAAAGTCGACCGGTGTTCGCCTCGACTTCCTCCCGCAGCATCGAAGACAGGTCCGGGCGGCCGTGCGCCAGCTGGACGGCAGGGAAGCTGAGCAGCGACGACGGCTTCGTCTTGGCGACAGGGGAAGCGCCCTCCGAGGAATGGATGGACTCGTCCTCGGCCCACGAGCCCTCCCTGGCGAGGGCCTGCGCGTTTTGTGCGGTGACGAATATCCGGATGCTGATTTCGACGTTGGAGGGCGCTAGTTCGAGCGCCTTGCTTAGTGCGTGCGAGATCCATTCCATGTGGCCTGTGCGGGTGAGAACGGTTAGCCATGGTTGTATTTCGAGACGCGCAATGACGGTATTGAGGTGGTACTCACTAGCATCGCGGATACACCATACGAACACGAGCTTCCGGCATCTGCTCTTCCCGTGCTTCACCTGGCTCAACACGCCCAGGAAGGTGGACAAAGTGAAAGTCACCCCAGAGCTCCCTGTAAAGCGCCTCGCATTAGTATTCACTCACTCACCGGTACACAAGACGGCGCATTACCTGCAACGAGCATGACCGTATCGTCGGCATCCAGGTCCGGCGAGAACCCATACGGCCCGTCGACGAGCACCTTGACCTTTTCGCCACGCGCCGCACTGTCCGCCAAACGCCGCGTGTACCCCTCGCGGACGTGGATGAGGAACACGAGCTCGTTCCAGTACAGCGTCGCGTCCGAGTCCGACCCCGCGTCGGAGCCGTTCTTTTCGTTGTCCGTCGCGCGCACGGCCTTCGCGTCGTCCAACGCGTACCGCGCGTCCACACTCGCGATCGTGAACGGGTGCGACTCGATCGGGAACCGCGACACAGTCGGCATCGCGAGGAACGCGGTCTGGCCGGGCGCCCAGCGGAAGTGCGGCGGACGCTTGAGGTGGAGGCGGACGAGATGGGGCGACAGCAGCTCGACGGACGCGTCGAGTTGGCTGGACACCTTGCTGAAGCCGAAGTAGAGGTGGTTGTAGTAGACGAGGCGTGCGAGGCGGAAGGCGCGGTCGAGCCCCCAGATGATGAAGCATGGCCATAGGTAGAACCCGAATTTCATGTCGTTGGTGTGGAAGTATCCGGCGAGGAGGATGACCCTAGAACGGCGCATTAAGTGTGGAAACGTGCGTGGAAGTGTGGTAGGGACTTACAGCACCGAGAGGACGTGCACGTAGTAGAACAGCTCGTAAAAGCGGGCACGAATCGGCCGGAGAGACACGACAACGAGGAGGCAGAAGAAGGACCCCGCGAGTATCCCAAGTGGGACAAACCACGTAGGATACTGCGAGTTATCGAGACTAAACAAAAGAGGTGTGAGCATTCATATGGCGTGGCCATACTCTCACGCTTACGTGATAAGCTAGACAAGACGACGACGGTCAGCGAGATTCTTGACATGAGATGAGAATGGGCGCTTACTCTAGCACCTCCGTGCGCCCATACTAGAATGAATATGGAACGAGCAATCATACGATGGATGAACTTCAGCTGTAAAATGGAAGAAGGTTATTATGGATATCAATATGTTACGAAATGTAGCTTACCCTGTCATAACTGACTCCCGTGATGTCTGAGGAAGACGCGTCAGTACGACAAACGCTGTATATGCCACTGAAGCGGTGTACTCACAGGAAAGCGCGTTGTTTTTGGTTCCGAGCAGAGTAATCAAAGGCAGCTGGCTCGCCGCGAGGGCACCGAGCCTGTTCTCCCAGTAGGCGACACTCAACTTGTTGCCGGCCAGGTCGGTCGCTATATATCCGGCGTCAGCATGAACACCACCAATATCTTGGACCACAACTCACTGCTGACGAATGACCAAACATAGAGGGCAACGATGTATACACAAACGATGAACAGCTCGGCGAACGTGAGGGTGAACGACTGGCCAATGTTCAGCGTCCAACGGAAGGCAACGACCCGGTAAGTGTTGAGGAGTGCCAAAGGAAGACGGCGCCACGAGATGCGTCTCGCTTCCGAAGTCACGCCGCCTTCGCTGTCGGCTGCGCGGCGCTCAGAGGAAGGGCGCCGTGCAGCGCGCCTCGTCATGACCCACGAGATGAACTGGCATAGCGCGACGAGGGCGATGAAGCAAGTGACGAACCACCACAGCTGGCGCGGGTACGCCCTGTTACGCCCTGTGCGGATGGGTTTGTCCGGGTTCGCCGCAGCGCGGGCATAGAGCGCGGGCGCCAAGAACGCGTCCATATTCGCGTCGGATGGGTGTAGGGAGGGAGTTTGACGGGGGCGGGCCTCCTGTTGGTCCACACGCGTGTCACTACTCCCTTTAATAGTGGGCGGTGCATGTCCCCAACGGCAGGTCGGGCAGGGATGGGAAAAAGCTGACGCACAGGGGGGATGCTACATGCGACATCTGGTATGCCGTCTTCGGAGGAGCGGAAAGAACGACACGGCCCGCCGCATTGGAGGGGCACCGAGGCCTAGGGTTCATTCTAGAAGCAGAGCAGCAGCATGGGCGAGCGGTCAAACCTTGCTGATGCCAGAGCAATTTTGTATCGGCCGGCGAAGAAGCGGGTCGTTCAAGGTGGCGTCTGCTCCCGTTGTACGTGATGCATCGTAGATTGGGCTGCTTGCATTCGATTCGATCGGTGGCTGAGGGCGGTGGCCCTCTGGATTATTGCCTTTGCGGCCAATCCTGCCTGTCGCGCCCAGTGAGCATCCCCGAAATTCGAATGAACGTGGTAGATAGGTACACACCGCGACCGGAAATCATCCAGTCGTCCGGACTTTCGTCCCTGATTCGGCGCCAGTGCAACGGGTAAACCTCGACCGCGGATGACATTGCAAGTCGGAATTCGATGGGGTGGTCAAATCCGAGGAAGACATAAGATCGCCAGAGCCATGTCGCGACTTATGGTAAAGCCGAGACCGAAGCAAGAACATGGGCTGTGGTGTAGTGCGGTGTACATGTGCAGACGTCGCATGACTTTACGGCGTCGGCGTCGCTGACGGTCGCAGTAGCATCACAGGATGGAGGAGCAGCGTTATCTTGGGGACGAGAAGCACCCCGGACCGAGCGCCTGTCATATCAGATAAGACAGCCGCGTTGCATCAGTTGTCTTATCTGATATGATAAGGAGCTTCTCCGCCCCTTCTCCGCCTGCGAAGCGGCGACGAAGGGCGACGACGAGTACCATGACCCTCGTTCTGGATCAGTGACCAGTCTGACGGGGATGTCTCAGCATAGCATGTCCTGACACTGGGGGCCGACGACGCCGAAGAGCTCACATGGAAAACATATGGATGCACATCTCCCGACGCCCATCTCGACATTACGACAGTCACCTCGACGCTTGGTACGATGAAGAAGCCCATCTTGCCGAGTTGGATCTACTCCGCGAACAGGTCAGTCGCGGAAGGAATCACGTTGACGGTGCTCGGATTTGCGAAATTGGCACACCGGCCTTTGGCCCCGACACTGACAGGCGTGTGTGAACGCAGCCCGCCACCACAACTTTGGCGCGGTAGCGACGCATGGCGGACATTCATTGGCTGATGTGTCTTGCGAACAGAAGGGACACTGAAGAGACCGTCCGACAAGGAGGAAGCCTTCCTGAATGGTGCGTCCGCGTTTTCAACTATGAATAACTCTCCCGTATTAGCGCAGATCGCGAGGATGTGAGAATAAACATACCTGGGCCACGGTATGTGCACTCAAATCGCAGCATGCATGTCCGCATGGTGCTGGATCAGAGTCATGAAGGTACTCCGTCGTGGTATCTTTGGATTGGCGGTACAACGACGGGGTCCCGATGACAATGCGCCCGGCGCTGTCGGAGGTATTCTGACAGCTGAGTCTGAGATACAAAGTAGCAAGGTCGAGGCACGGTACGTTACCTGTACGGGAGGCGTTATGGTGGAGACCATCGCTCTGGAACGGCGACTTCAATTAGTCGTCGCAGTAGGTAATGACAGTGCGTGTATCGACTCACCTTTCATCGACCCTGCCTTAAAGCAGGCACTGCGCATACTGGACGGGTTCCGAACGTTCTGCAAGAATGGACGAGCCTTCAAGCTTCACGCGCAGCAACGGCCGAATCTGAGGGTCCCGTCACCTCAGCACGAGGCAGGCGGCGGCGGCCCTCCTTCAAGACGCTCGACGTTAACGTTCCGCAGCTTCATGCATCGCGTCGAATGTCGTACGCCGCGTGCGAGCTGCGCGCAGGTGATCCTCCCTTGAGTCCTATCGCCGTCCATGCGCCTCCCAATGGCGGCTCAGAACGCTTCCGCGCACCTTCCAGACAGTCCGCCTGGGAAACGCAACTCAAAACGCATCGGCTGCACCGTTTTACAGCTTCTCAGCGGTCCAGAAGAGAAGGCGCACTCTCTTTCCGCCTCCCCGGGCTCGCACGCTATTTGTGGGCGAGCTGCGAGAGCGGCCCGCCACGTTCGCGGCGACCACTGATCGGCGGTTACTGTGGGAGTCCCTTACGATGCGTTCATCCGATTTCTGCCGCGTCGCGGTGCTCATAGTGCGCCGGCAAATGGGTGTCAGCTGAGTTCTTCCCCGCCGCTGCAAGATCCTTTGAGGTAGGAGCGACTAGCGCTAGAATGCCACTCACCTTCGTGCGATGGTCGGCCTTCAGGTACATTGTGTCGTACTGGAAAATCAAAGGGTCTCATAGGGTAGCAGGTTTGAGTACCCGGTGGTGGCACTGCAGCCCCGGTGTCTTCTTGCGAGTCACCGGCTTCTCCAGGGACTCCTGCCAAGGGTGGCGGCTGGTGGCGGACGAGCGATATGCTTGGGCGCTCTGGAACACAGAGCCCGTGAAAACACACAGTACTGCCAATTGAGTGACACACCTAGATGACGGCGAATAGCATACGATAGGTTGGGTGTAAGGGTTATGGGACGCTATGAATACCTCTAACATCTATTCAACTAGTCGAGTCGTATATAGTCTATGGCCAGGTCCGAGCAGAGCAGAATAGATAGCTTATTCACGGCTCACGTCGCTGTACGGGGAGAGTTAGGCGGGCGCAGGCAAAAACAGGAAAATAGGCGTACCGTCCGAAGAGCTTGACGTACAGCCAGTCCGTGGCGACGAGCGTGCGGTTACGGACCGAGAAGAGCGTGCTGAGGTACACGCTACGCCAGAAAAGGTACTGCGAGCGAGCGTGGTAAGTATATGCGCTATTGAGGTGATCAGGAAGACGTACAGTTGCGATACCACCGGATGCGAACTATATGCGAACTCGTTAGCTATGAATAACACATAAGCATTGTATAGACGTACGTTTCCGTTGAAGAACGGAAGGTCCGCGATAGCCTTGTCCGATCCAATGTACCTGCATGAAGGGTAAGTCACCATATCTAGAGCAATCTCACGTCGAATTAGCCTACGCAAGGGAGCCCTGGTGCGAGTACTTGAAGGGGCGGAGCTTCTCGAGCTTCGCGAGGCGCTTCTGGACTTGCTCCTGCTCCTCCTTGGCCTCGGGCTCCGATGCGCTTTGTAGCGCCTTCAGGCGCGCATCGAGCTCATCCTTCTTCGCGATCTGCGAGAGAACACGGGCAAGGTAGGCACCTTCCTGGGAGGCAACCTGCGCAGTCGGCGCGTACGAAGTAGCGGAGCAGTCACCAATCGCGAAGATGCTGCCGTTAGAGCCCTCCATGCGGAGGCACTCTGATGTACGAGTTAATAAGGGCTGAACCTATGCTCACTGAGTGATGCACTCACCGTCGACAGTGATACCGCGCCTGTTCGTCTGAACGTCGGGGAACTTCGACATCAGGTCCCGGGTGACCTTGCGAAGGGTGTTGCCCTGTATAGCACACTATCAGCATCTCGCAGGGCGTTGTTTAGCGCTAGTACTGACCGCAGCCCAGACAACAAGGCCGCAGGGCACCTCAACAACGGTCTTGTCAGGCATCTGGAGGACAACACTCTTGTCCTTGATTTCCTTGACCATCGTCTTCGTCAAGATATCAATCTTGGCCTCCTTGAAGGTGGACTCGGTGTAGTCGATGAGCTGCTTGCTGAACATCGGCAGCACGGAGGGCAGCGCTTCCACGAGGGAGATGCGAACGTTCTCCGCCAGCTCGGGGTACCATGAGCGAAGGTCCTCCTCGAGGAAATCGTGGAGTTCACCGCTATCCGGGGGTCAGCGCCTCGGACTCATTGCGAGTAGGCTGTGTACACACCTCAGCTCAACACCGGTAGGGCCGCCACCGACGACAACCTGATGTTTAATGTTAATAGATGCGGACCTGTATGTTAATGATAACTCACCATGTGAAGCAGCCTCTTAATCTCTTCGGTGCTCTGGCCAGGGAATGCGGCAGATTCAAGGCCTTCTCACGAGTTAGACAAGTATCCTGAGTGATCTTTTAGAGCACTTACAATCCAAGAAGCGACGCTGCATCTTCTCCGCGTCCTCGAGCTCCTTCATGAAGCAAGCGTTTTCTCTTACACCGGGGATGTTGAAAGTCTGCACTTCAGCACCGACGGCAAAGACCAGGTAATCGTAGGGTATCGTTGTAGTAGAGACCAGTCCCTGAATCTCGGAGGTATCTGGAATGATCCGTTGAAGTTGCGTTGGGACCCCTTTTCAGTACACTTACCAGCGAACGTCACCGTCTTGGTGGCAGGCTGAGATATACGTGGTGAGTATGCAACAATCCTGACATTGACGTGGTGCTCACATCGACATCCGTCGCGGACGCTTCAATCACAGTGACTTGACGCTTTTTATGACGCGTGACATAACGCGTGGCTTCCTAGGAAGTCAGGTGGCCGCTCGGCAACAGGCAAACTATGACGCAACTCACGCTGCAGGATTGAGCGAGGGCTGAGCGTACCCACCGCCACGCTGGGCAAAAGCGGCGTGAACAAGAAGTAGTTCTTCGGGCTAATGACAATCTATCCAAACCGTTATGTCGGGCACTTCGCACGGAGGTGAGAGCAGGTTACTCACCACATTGTAATCAGCCGTCTCCAGCGAGTTGAGCAGACTCGTGGCGCCCCAACCACTTCCCAGGATGACGAGGGTCTTCTTGGTTGGGTCGTGAGGCAGCTGAACACCAGGAGTGCGATCCTTCTGCGCGACATAGTAAAATGCCGTGCCGGTGGCGAGAGTCACCAGAGTGATGCTCCCGGTGACCTGCAGGAAGCGCTTCCACAGTGACGCTTTGGGCGGCGGCGGCGGCGGCTTCTCAGGCGCACGAATGTGAGAAATATGCAAGCGACGCGGTCGAGACCAACAACATACCGCAGATGCGCCTTCAGTCCCCGTGGACAGCAATCTCCTGGAGAACGAGGAGCGCGGAAGCACGGCTGGTCGAGATCTGACCAGGCTTCGGCCGAGAACTGAGAATTGTCCGGTTTATAATCAGAAGCCGCCTGGATTCCTAACGCAAAGGTTTATGCGGGAACATACGTCTTGATGCTTGCATGGCCATCTTGCGACAGAAGGCGACACCTGCGCGTCGAGAGAGGGGGTAGGGAGTGCAGGGAGTACGCCGAGGGCGGAGTCGAGGTCGTTGTGGTCGATGATGAAATTCTGCGCGCTCACTCGTTCCGACCTTTGACGGTGCTCGCCGAGGTTTTCCGACACATTTGTTGAGCTTATCCCCAATTAACCTTAAATAATTGCCACAGAAATGCCTCCGTGGTATTCGGACCGGAGTCATTGCATGTTTTGACCTCCTTCAGCTTTCCTCCGACCCGGAGCGCGGTGTGAACTTTCCTACGACCGCGGTACGTCCACACACGAACGCGCAACATTGGCGCGACGTTAAAGCTTTGCTCACGGCTGTACAGGCATCTTGACCGCTACCAAAATGGCCTCCGTCGACGTCCGCAAGGTCTCCATCCTCGGCAAGGAGTCTATCCACTGCGGCTTTCACCTCATCCCGTACATCGTACAAACTGTCATTGACACACTCCCATCCTCCACATATGTCCTAGTCACCGACACCAACGTCGGGAACCTCCATCTGTCTGCGTTCCAGGCCGAGTTCGACTCACGCAAAACCTCGACCAACGCAAGGTTCTTCACCTTCGTGATCGCCCCAGGAGAGACCAGCAAGAGCCGTGAGGGCAAGGCGGAAGTCGAGGACTTCCTGCTATTGAACCAATGCACGCGCGACACCGTCATCCTCGCTCTGGGCGGAGGGGTCATCGGTGATCTCGTCGGTTTCGTCGCAGCCACTTTGTGAGTACTCCCTTGCGCAGTCCGGCACACACACCTCAATATGGCACAGCATGCGCGGAGTCCGTTTCGTGCAAATCCCGACGACCCTACTCGCCATGGTCGACTCCAGCGTCGGAGGCAAGACCGCGATCGATACTCCCCACGGCAAGAACCTCATTGGCGCCTTTTGGCAGCCGGAGTACATCTTCATCGATGCAGCTTTCCTCGAAACCCTCCCCGCGAGGGAGTTCTCAAATGGTATGGCCGAGGTCGTCAAGGTGAGCAACTTCTCCCTCATTTCGTGCACGACGCGACGTATGCCCCACCTATGCCCGCCGTGGGGATCTGAAGGGTCCTGCGTCCGACTCGGCTGGTGACTCGTAAGGCAATATTGTAAGCGTGCAAGCGTCCCGCGCAAAGCGCAGGAAATAGTCCCAATCACCAGCCACTATGAGAGGCGTCTTTGTATGCGGTTAGACCTGCTCCACCATGTTCCGAAGTTTTGGGAAACCAGCTTCCACTGGTGCGGCGCTCAGCTCGAGATGGAGGTTCAGCGCCCCACATGTATAACTGCGTTCCGAATACACTCCCTTGGGGGCTTGCGCGATCGATTTTGCACGAGGCAGGAGAGATGTCGCGCAGGACTGCGAGAGAGTCCCCATCAACGTCGCAAACTTCCACTGCACGGTATGGACCCGCTTTCATGCACTCTATATGCTCCGCCTTGCATCCCAGGCGCGACGTAAAGCTCATTTCCATTGTCGAATATGTGCGCGCTTTCTTGAAGGACAATATTCTAACGTTTTCTCTAGACCGCTGCCATTTGGAACGAGACAGAGTTCTCCGCGCTCGAGTCGCGCGCCGCCGAAATCTTCGCGGCTATCCAAACCCCATCTGTCAATTTCGCCGGGCGCACAGAGTCGACGCGCTCGCCTGCGCAAGAGCTCCTTCTATCCGTCATCGCCGGCTCGATCGGTGTCAAGGCGCATATAGTCACCATTGACGAGCGCGAGACCGGCCTGCGCAACCTTGTCAACTTCGGGCACACCATTGGCCATGCAATTGAAGCGGTCCTTACACCCGCCATGCTCCATGGGGAATGCGTTGCGGTCGGTATGATCCTAGAGGCGGAGGTTGCTCGTCAGCTGGGTATCCTCAGCCAAGTCGCGGTCGGACGTTTGACGCGGTCCCTGAAGGCGTACAACCTCCCGGTGTCGCTCTCGGACCCCAGGATCGCGAGCCTCCCAGCCGCGAGCTCGCTTTCGGTGTCAAAACTTCTCGACATCATGCGCATCGACAAGAAGAACAGCGGTCCGCAGAAGAAGATCGTCATCCTGTCGCGCATCGGTGCGACTTACGAGCCCAAGGCGACTGTCGTCGCGGACAAGGTCATTGAGAAGACTCTATCCGAAGCTGTGAAGGTCGTACCCGGCACTCCGAGCAAAAGCCCCATCCGTATGGCGACGCCGGGCAGCAAGAGTATCTCGAACCGCGCGCTCCTTCTCGCGGCGCTCGGAAGTGGTACCTGCCGGCTCAAAAACCTCCTTCACTCCGACGACACGCAAGTGATGATGAACGCGCTCGTCGAGCTTCAGGGCGCGAAGTTCGACTGGGAAGACGGAGGCGAGACCCTGGTCGTCTCCGGGGGCGCCGGGGCGCTCTCTGTCCCCAGCGGCGGAAAGGAAGTCTATCTGGGGAATGCGGGCACCGCAGCGCGCTTCCTCACGACTGTGTGCACGCTTGTCCAGGCGCAGAGCGCCGACCAGCGTACGATCATCACGGGCAACGCGCGCATGAAGCAGCGTCCGATCGGACCTTTAGTCGACGCGCTCCGCGCTAACGGCAGCAGCATCGACTATCTCGAAAGCCAGGGGTGCCTTCCTCTCTCTATCGCCCCGGCGGGCCTGAAGGGCGCGCACATCCAGCTCGCCGCGAGCGTATCCAGCCAATACGTGTCGTCCATACTGCTCTGCGCGCCGTATGCCGCGGAACCCATCAAGCTCGAGCTCACCGGCGGCCAGGTGATCTCACAGCCGTACATCGACATGACCATCGCGATGATGAAGACGTTCGGGATCGAGGTTGTCCGCGAGAAGGACCCGTCTGGAAAGTTGCTGGACGTGTATCGGATCCCGAAGGGGGCATACACCAACCCCGCGGAGTACAACATCGAGTCCGACGCGAGCAGCGCGACGTACCCACTCGCCATTGCGGCGATCACAGGCACGACGTGCACGATCACGAACATCGGGTCCGCGTCGCTGCAGGGTGACGCGCGGTTCGCGAAAGAAGTCCTCGAGCCGATGGGCTGCAAGGTTGTGCAGACCGAGACCGAGACGACGGTGACTGGCCCTCCGGTAGGCCAGCTGCGCGCGCTCGGACTAGTCGATATGGAGCCGATGACCGACGCTTTCCTGACTGCATCTGTTCTCGCTGCTGTTGCGACTCAGCCGCCTCTCGCGGGCAGGGCAGTGGAGGGCGGAAAGCCGAACGCGACGCGCATCATCGGTATCGCGAACCAGAGAGTGAAGGAATGCAACCGCATCAAGGCTATGATCGACCAACTCGGTGAGAGACACAGTCTGGCATGTGACGATCGCACAACTGACTTTCCGAACAGCCAAGTTTGGTGTGGAGACCTCGGAACTTGATGACGGTCTCGAAGTGTATGGGCGACCCATTTCGGAACTGAAGGAGGGTGTTAGCGTGCACTGCTACGACGACCACCGCGTCGCGATGGCGTTCAGTGTCCTGGGCAGCGCGATCAAGGATACCATCCTTGAAGAGAAGCGCTGTGTAGAGAAGACGTGGCCGAACTGGTGGGACGACCTTGAGAACAAGGTATGTTGACCTCTTCATGACACCGACCCCCGCACTCATCTTTCCCCAGATCGGGCTTGCCGTCGAAGGTGTCGAGCTCTCTTCTCTGCACGAGATCGCTTCTGCCAGCCGCCCCACGGATGATGCCTCACAGGCCTCGGTTGTCCTCATCGGCATGCGCGGTTCAGGCAAGACGTTCATCGGGGAGCTCGCAGCAAGCGCCTTGGGCTGGCAGTTTGTCGATGCCGATGCCGCTTTCGAAGAGAAGCACCAGACGGGCGTCCGGGAGTTCGTGCATCAGAACGGGTGGCCGGCCTTCCGCGAGGCAGAAACTGACATTCTGCGAGAGCTCCTTTCTCAAAACGGAAGTGGTCATGTCATCAGCCTTGGTGGCGGGATCGTCGAAACCCTGGCTGCGCGCGAGCTCTTGAAAGAGTACACGAAGACGGGCCCAGTCGTGCACATCGTCCGAGAGATCGACGAGGTCGTCGGCTACCTCGGCGAGGAGACTGCGCGTCCCGCGTATGGCGAGCCCATCGTCGATGTCTACAAGCGGCGTGCTCCCTGGTTCGCAGAGTGCTGCAGCTACGAGTTCGTCAACTACACGGGTGTGCTCGCCTCCTCCGGGACGCCAGCGCATGACGACTCGAAGGCGGCGCCTTCGTCTCTGAGCGTCCGCGAGGAGGTCTCGCGGTTCTTCAACCACATCACTGGACAACAGGCCAACCTCGCCCCGAACCTCGCGAAGGGCAAGAGGTCGTACTTCCTCTGCCTCACATACCCCGACATCACTCCTGCGCTTCCTCACGTCCAGGAAATGACTGCTGGTGTTGATGCCATCGAGGTGCGCGTAGACCTCCTCAGGTCGCCCCGGGACTTCGACAAGCTCGGCGCCTATATCCCTCCGACGTCCTACGTGACCGAGCAGATCACGGCCCTCAGGCACAAGACTCGCCTCCCGCTCATCTTCACCGTCCGCACGGTCTCCCAGGGTGGGCAGTTCCCTGACCACGCCGAGAAGGAAGCGTTCGAGCTCTTCCTCACTGCTGTGCGCCTTGGTGTCGAGTACATCGACGTCGAGATCTCGTGGACGGAAAAGAACATCCAGGACCTCGTCTCGCGCAAGGGCCACTCGAAGATCATTGCCTCCTGGCACGACTGGAGCGGGAACATGCACTGGGGCGGTAAGCCCGTCGAGGCCAAGCACCAGCTCGCGCACCGGTTTGGGGACATCGTCAAGATCGTGGGCAAAGCGAACGCGCTCGAGGACAACTTCGCTCTGCACAACTTTGTCTTGCGCACGCAGGCCGTCTCAGGCGCGAAACCCATCATCGCGCTCAACATGGGTGTCGAGGGCCAGATGTCACGCATCCTCAACTCGACCTTCAGTCCCGTCACTCACCCGCTTTTGCCGTCGAAGGCCGCCCCGGGTCAGCTGTCGTTTGCGCAGATTCAGACTGCCCTCCATCTGTTAGGCCAGCTGCCCGCGAAGAAGTTCTACTTGTTCGGGACGCCGATCGCGCACTCTATGTCCCCGACCCTGCACAACACCGCATTCGAGGCGCTCGGACTTCCGCACAAATACGAGCTCCTGGAGACCGCGACCGTGGGCGAGGAGATCAAGGCGGCTATCACCGCGCCCGACTTTGGTGGGGCGTCCGTGACCATTCCGTTCAAGAGGGACATTATACCGCTCCTTGACGGGCTTTCCGCGGACGCAGAGATCATCGGCGCTGTCAACACGGTCATTCCACAGAAGAGAGAGGATGGGTCTTTGTCGCTCTACGGAGACAACACGGACTGGCGTGGGATCACGCATAGCATCCAGCGGTCGCTACCACAGGGCATCCTCACTCCCGAGGCCGCGCTCGTCATCGGCGCAGGTGGCACGTCTCGCGCAGCGATCTACGCCTTGTGGAAGTTGGGCATCCAGACGATCTACCTAATCAACCGCACCCGGGGTAGCGCCGAGACGCTCGTCGCCGCGTTCCCTGACGCGAAGATCCAACTCGTTGAGGAGCTCGGTGTGTGGCCCAACGGCGGCCCCGCCCCGACGGTCGTCATCTCTACGGTCCCGGCTTCAGCGACGTCACTTGACAGCTCCGCTACGAACGCTCTCTACCTACCCCGTGCCCTCTTCGCTGCCACCAAGGGCGGCGTGGTCGTCGACATGGCTTACAAGCCCGCCGACACGCCCCTCCTGTTACTGGCGGCGAACGTCGGGACCCATTGGCGTACAGTGAAGGGCGTCGAGGTCCTGCTGGAGCAGGGCTACCACCAGCTGCATCTCTGGACCGGTCGGCACTGCCCGAAGGGCGTCGTTGCGGAGCGCGTCTTGAAGGCGTACTCGGCGTCCCCGTAACTCTTGGTTTACATCAGTTGAAATGGCTCCAGTCGATGTAGAGATAGAATGAGAAGAGCTCAAATGTACTTCATATATGTTGAAAATGTATGCTGACGCTCTCCGATGCACAGCTTGATTGTGGAGCGGTCTCGTCCATCCCCAGCGGCCAGCCCGACCTGATCAGCGCTTAGTTATTGACACGGCGGGCAAAGCTCGTATCCAGTGGGGCTGAAATTTGTCAGAAATTTGGTCGGCTTGCTTGCATTTCGTGAGGACATACTAATGTTCTCCGCAGTACAGAACGGTGACATATCTGATATATTTCAGCACCATTTCTGGTGTCCCCATACAACATGCTCATATATGAAGAGGAAATGAGACAGAAGGCATAATATCGGAGCGTTTGAAATGTCTGCGCTGCGAATATTTTACAGAAACCCCTCGTCTCATTATACTGTAGCATGGTTTGAAACGACACAAGGGTAAGCCTTTCTGATATCCCGCTGATCGCCCACAAAAACGTCACTAGCACGTAACGTAGCCCTTTGTGAATATACCGCCGAGGCGAGTCAGAGACGCAAGCAAGCCAGACAAATATCTGTTGTATATTAGTGCATCTGGATAAGCCCTTTGCCCGCCGTGTGATGCGCCTCCGCTTCCAAAACAGGACACGCGACGGTTGCTACGATGTGACCGTCACGTACGATGTGCTGGCGTCGGGCAACGCAAGAAAGAACGACTCGGAGCGCTTAGACGTCGTCGCCTCAAGTTGCTCTCGCCAGACATGTCCCTCTAAACCTCTGATCTTCCCGATATCAGAACGTGTGAGTCCGTATCAGCCCAAGACTACTCATTGAAGTGCGGCCCTAGATGAAAGGAACGCGCATTATGGGCAGGTATAGCACTCGCGCGCAATAACGGCATGCCCCGGCCTTGATCGTCTGGGAGCTGCCGCAGGTTCACGTCTTTCGTGGGGTACGAAACCCAGGCGACGTGACCCCGCCTATTTAGGCCACAACCAGGCCGCACATCCCACCAACACCACCTCCCAGGACAGCGACCTATCGAACGACAGGAGTAAGCATCCGCGTACAATGCAGAATTATGAGCTATCAATCGACAGGATGCGGGCCGCTGCTGTTGGGAAGGACTCCGAAGGAGTTGAGCATCCGCAACGCCTAACGTCGCACTGGACGAACCGTTTTGCTGCCCGAGAGTCGAAGCCTGGTATTCTAGGCCGCTTACATTGTCCAGGACCTCAGTAAGTCTCGGGCAACATCTCGGTGAGCCATGTCGGCGTAGAAGCCTCTGACAAGGGCGGGAAGTCCAAGCGTTGCCAGACGACTGGCTAAAGCCATGAACCCCAGTCCAGGCAGACAATGGCGCGCATTGGCGGCGATTCGGCGCGCTTGGATATCCGGAGGTTAGCCACCGGCCTCGCGCGCGAACGCCCTCACGTGTGCAAAACACGTCGCGGTGCGCGTTGTTGTGCCCGACCAAACATGGAAGCTTAAAACCGCCCCGATCCATAGCTCAAGCCGCCACTTGCTCTCTCTCCTCACCTTCCATCCGCTCACGCTCAACGCTCAACCCTACTCGAATTTCGCCACCCTCAACCCTCACTCATCACGATGGACATGTTCAACATGTTTTACTTGGCTGGATACTCCCCAGAGTACGCATTGATGATGGACCAAGAACTCGACCAGTACGTTGCTCAACAATACTTCTCCTCCCTGCCCCATATGCCATACTTTGTTGCCGTCTCCTTTCCCCCCGACATAGTTCAAGATATTGACTTCCGGACAGGATTTTTGATTACCTTCAATCGATGATGACACCAAGCGATATAGCCAAAATGGATGAGCGGTGAGTATCCTCCCTTTTGATCCCTGGTCTCTCAGCGAACCTTTTCACAGCGTCGAGAAAGCCTTCAAGGACGCTGAGGGGCTTGAAGTCCCATATGACCTCATAGACAAGGATGTGGCTAGCTTCTTGACCTTCGGCGGCAGCGCTACGCCGGTCGACCAGCCCATGGTAGTCGACGCGCCCACCGACCTCGCTCAAGGTCCACTCGGTGTAGTACCCATAGCCTGCCATCCGGCGGCGCCCAACTGGCCGCATCCCGTCAACACCCTCATTACCGTGGGGAACTATGGCACGGAAGACCTCGTGCGGCTCTGTACAATGATAGCATGCCCACTATGTGGCGAGGCGCACCCCGCCGACAAGCTCGCGGACCACTACACGCGCCACTTCGCGCTCTGCATCGTCAACCGCAGCTCGGACGTCTGCTGTGGATGGGATGGCTGCCAGACACAGCTGAAGTACCGAAGCCTCAAGAACCACGTCGACTCGCAGCACCTCCGGCTCACAAACGTCCACTGCCCGTACTGCCACCAAGACTCGCGGTGGGACAACGGGAAGTGCACGCACACCGCTCGGGACTGCTCGTTCCGGCGCGCGGCTCTTGGCTTGGAGGAGTCGAACGTGAAGATCCCGAAGAAGGACAAGGAGTGCAAGTGGTGCCGGCGATTTGTGGCTCCGAAACGGCTGCCGCAGTTTACATTCAATGATTCGTACCGTGCGATCATCACTGGGCCGGCTCAACCGCCACCTGTGGAATTTTATGAGGAGGACTAGTATGGCACGTTGGCAAGTATTTCTTTCACCATGCTCTCTCGTTCCGATCGCTCTCGTATATTTGTCACGCATCATATGACTGCAGGCTGAGTACATCTGTATCGCTATAGATATCGGTTTCCTACAAGTTATTTCTGTTCTGTAAAGTAGTTGCTCGCTTTCTTGCACCGCCAACCAGCTTACGCCATATTTCGTGTGTATCTTCAGTGTATCCTCCATCATGATTCCTGTGTACAACTCCTTGTTATACCTATCTTACATCTGCCATCGCTGCTCGGAGCACGCCCAGAGCCGCCGAAGACCGCGAGGTTCATAGATTGTAATCTTGTTGTATAATGCTGGGTGAGATGGTACTACAACTCCGCAATCACGCTAACCTAGCTATAATATTACTCAGCGTGGGTCAGACATGCAGCCGCGTGTCTGCCTCGTGTGTTCCTCGAGGTCCAACTTGTCCTAAATATGAGGGTCAGTACCAGTCCTCTTGATTACTTAGACGTACCTGCATACGCACATTGGCAAGACGCACACGTAGTCTGCTATAGGTACTGCTCAGTATGTCGTACGCACTAAAACCTTGGTGTACTCACCGTGCAATGGTGTAGGGCCAAGAGGATCTCGGGCTTGACGAAGTAGCTGGAATATATGGAGGAGTCCGCCAAGGACGTCGCACCAGTAAGTCTTCGTGGCACCAATGTTGTAGGTATTGACGGGCCGCCCTAGAAACGACCAACAATCTTCCTGTCAAACAGGCTCCTCAGCGCGGCTGCGTATGTACGACAGGGGAACCTAGTACCCATCGACTGCACTACCGCAGACGACGTGGAGTCCTTTTACTGGGTCATCCTCTACGCCGTGTACAGGCACGGCCTTGAGACTCTGAAGGCCCGCAAGTCTGACAAGGCTCGCAGCCGGCTTGATGATGAGTTCTCCAAGATCTTCTGGGCGCGGGACGTCGGAACACTGGTCGACCAACGGGTGGTGGCATTCAATCTCAATCCTATGGGACGCAGCAACTACGATGGGATCCACGTGTTGCTCGACCATCTCAACGACGAAGACCCACAGCCCGCATTGAGGACGCTCGTCGCGGGAATATGGCAGAAACTCCGCCTGTGCCCGTTCAAAGAGGAACCGCTACGCAACACATACGCCGACCTGGATAAGGAAGTAGTAGAAGTTAACCACGGTTTCAACAATAGGCGCAAGGCGCTTGGGCGCGCTGTGCTTCCCATCCAAGGTACGGTTCCCGGCAACGCGGGTTGGTATACCGACGACCACGATTTCCTCATATATGTTCTCGAGAACATGATCGACGAGCTGGAGGCGGAGAGCGCGTCATGAGGAGAGCATGAAATGGCGGGGAATAGGGGCGGAGCTGGAGCTGGAGCTGGATACTAGCTGCCTGCGCACCTGGACGTGCCAAAGGCCGGATACGTGATTGGTTTTGACTCCGCATGACTCTGATTCTGAATGATATGGGTTCGCTTTCGCTGCTCCGCGTTCCCTGTAACGCCTCAGTACGTAGACGTCGAGACGGCCAGTGTACCAGCGCGGCGCGCAACCTTCAAGTTGGTGCAAAGTGTACGCTCGCGCGTCCCCACACCACAATGACGATGGGCACTATCGCATCGGAATGACGGTGCGAGTATTACTGTATGTTTCCTTATAGATCGTCCACGAATCCAACCGCATCGCGCCAAGGGTCTGTCTCGGAAGTTACTCGAACCGAAACTTGCAGGGGAGGGTCATGACTGCCCCTTGTCGTATACCACGTGCGATGCCGCCTTGCGAACGCGTTTCTGCCTCGCCTTTTCGGCAGGCTCCTAGATACCAAAGGTCAACGACGGTCCTCCCTGTTTCTCGCCCAGACGTACCTTGTGCAGCGACATAGCTCGACCGCGCGCCATACCCCTGAACTTGTACGGCGGTCAGTTTCCGGCGGATATCCTAAACCTCGGTATACTCACCTCGCGATAATGCAGCGCCGAGAGAACCTCAAGCTCAACCAGAACAACGTAGCTGTTCTATGGATGATCCCGCAGAGGATGTCATTCCGGTGGGTCTTCTTGGTGCGCGAAGCACGGGATTGCCATAAGTATTGATGACTACCTTAGAAACGACCGACCATCTTCCTGTCAAACAGGCTCCTCAGGGCCGCTGCTGATGCACAACAGGAAAACCTACCCGTCAAGCGCGCCGCCGCAGACGACGTGGAGTCCTTTTACTGGGTCCTCCTCTACGTCGTATACAGGAACAGCCTCGCGATTCCAGAGGCTAGCGATGAATCCGAGGAGGCTCGCAGCCTGCTTGACGATAAATTCTCCAAGCTGTTCTCAGCGCGGGACGTCGGAACACTGGTCACCCAGCGGTATCTGGCGTTCGATCCCGTTCTCTACGGAGACGAGAGCTACGCCGGGATCGACGTGTTGCTCGGTCATCTCTACGAGCACGAGCCACGCCGCACATTGCGGAGGCTCGTTGCGGGGATATGGCAGAAACTCCGCCTGTGCCCGTTCAAAGAGGCGCAACTGCACGACAAATACGCCGACCTGGATAAGGAAGTAGCAGAAGTCAACCACAGATTCAACAAACAGCTCGAGGCGCGTGGACTTCCTGCGCGCTACCACACCGCTACGGTTCCCGGCAACGCGTGGCGGTACACCGCGAACCACCACCACCTCATAATTCCTCTCAAGAACCTGATCGATAAGATGGAGGCGGACCGCGCGTCGTAAGGAGAGGACGGGATGGCGGAGACTAGGGGGTGGAGGTGGACGCTAACTACCTGCGCATGCGCACTTGAACGCGCCAGAGTTCTGATGTATATGTTCTGTTCTCGCATGCCTCCGGTTCTGAATGGCATGTTTTTGCTGCACGTCGTTCGTGCTGGGGTCCCTGTGATGCCCCCATAGTAGATGCTGCACGTCAATACCAATCGGCACGCAAAGCCCGTGCAAAGTTTTTCACGCGCATCCCCACCCCCACCGCACGATCAGTGTTCGGATGGCACTATTGCGCCGGAAGACGCGGAGAGCACCCTGCTCGAGCGGGAATGAAGAGAGATCGCAGCTTGTTTGGCACGGTGGGCGATACCAGCGTCCTCCCGCGACTGCCCAGCGTGAAGCTGGTGCCTCCAGGCGGACCTTCTCTTCTATGTATGCCCGCAGACGCATATATGCGACCACCCCAATCGCGCTGTCGTGCAAGCTCGCGCTATCGGCTGCGGCGCAGAAGCTTGAGGCTTGAAGGTCCGAACAGCCGGGTCGACTGGCATATTCGGCATCCAGAGTGCCCTAGGGCGGGGAATATGGAAGACACACTGCGTGAGACCCCTTTCTCGTACAGTAGGCTACGAGTCAGTAAGATAATGCCTAGTTCAATCTAGTAACCCGGGTGACTAGCGTCTGCCGTGCATCCCCCCACGAGTAGTTCGGGGGACACTTAGGATGTATCTCCGACATTATACGCGTAGACCTCGTGCTATCGTGCTACGAGTCAAGACGAGCAATGCTCGTGGAAATATCATACTACTGTCAACGAGAACGGATCGTTAGGGGGCTCACTACCTACGACGCAGCGACCTAGTAAGATGTGCACGACCTACTACGAGACGACGCGGAGCTAGATTCACGTAGCCCGACCAGCCTGATCTGGGCGAGGCGCGAATTGCTCGCGTCACATCTGAGATTATATAAGGCCTTCTGTTATGGATGCACGAAATGAGAATATATTTCATTAGATGTAACTACACAATGTCCACAAAGGCCCCCTACACGACCGCCGCATCGTGTAGTGTACTATCAGTCTATCATCACCCTGTCGAAGTTAGCACGCATATCTTCAACATGGACACCCCTGCGAGTTCGAGTCCCCATGGCACTTCATGTGGATACCTTCAGGCCGCCATCATACCAATGAGGTAACTTACCGGTTACGACTCACCTAAGTCGATAGATATAATGTACCATGCGGTCTTTCGTGATGAGGATGAGGTGGAGGTAGGCTCGTGAACCAGCCTCACGTTCGGAGGCGGAAGACAATCGTTCCTCCCGAAGGGAGGCTGGACCTATGTGTGAGGGGGGGTGGTGAAGACCCCCGTGGGAACGGCTGAGATTGAAAATGCCGACGGCACGCGAGCCTCGAGAGTCGCGTCGCACCGACTCGCGCGTTCGAACCACTGCGAACTAGCACTCGCGGTCGCGTTTCTGAAGATACCTCCAGAGCGCGTCCGTTTCTTATTTGAATTTATTTTACGCGTCTCTGCGCTACGATTTTCCCTGTCCCATATTCGGAGAATCATTTCATAAGTGACAGAACTTCGAAAATCGTGCTAAGCTGCTGTACAACTTGAAGCCCAGTTCTGGCACGCAGTCGTTAGTGCCATTTCCGCCCCAAGGCTCGCAGCTCAAGCACACGCCCGCAGGTGACCCCGCCGTCTTCGCGGCGCGCCGCGCAGAATATATGCGTAGTGAAAATGAGGTACCCCGCTCTCTATTTGCAGGACGAATTACCGCTGACCGCGCAATAACTACCAGGACGTACTCCGTATGGATTTTGCCAGCACCAGCAGCATCGAGGGCTCTCTGATGACCTCTATTCGTTATTAGGGCCTGCGCGCTGGAAGATAGCATCGCTACCGCACGCATACTTAAGGCCTGCGGCGTGCGCGTTCAACCAGCCACTCGTTCTTAGCAGGCGCCGTCGGCACGTTCAAACTCAGCCGTTCCCACGGGGGTCTTCACCACCCCCTCTCACACATCGTTCTAGCCTAGGTGGAGGAGGCACACACTCTTGGCGGTGAGCATACGAGCTTGTAGGAGCGAGGTTATATAGACTATGGGCCATCGGGACATCCCCGGGTGGATCGAGTCTAGAGCGGTCGCGCCCGGAGGGAGAGCACATACCTAGATGTCTCGTGAGCCACATGATGCTCTAATGAGATGTGCATATCAAGCGTAGTTGGAAGAGTCCGGAAGGATGAGTGAGGCCAGCGCTTGTATCGTGGCTCG